ACCACGTGCTTGCTCTGCTACTTCTGATGCTCACTTGCCCGTGACCGTATCCGTCTGGATGGCGGCGGTCAAAGGCCACGTCAATGCACTCCTCGATGTTCTCGAAACAATCGCTAATTGGATCTGTGCTCCCGGCGGTGCACCTATATTGACTTACTGAGACGGATGGCGGCGCTGTTTTTCCACTGGGAGAGGAGGCGAGGTCGGTCGGATGTCTCGATGTCCTGTGGTATACGGGTGGGCTTGGTGAGAGACATATTCTGTATAATGGTGGCGTCAGTGAGAGTGTCGCACCCTGTCGTATTGGGTCGGTCAGTGGAGTCATAGGTTAGGCTGTCATCATCTGTTTGGTAGTTACTGCATGCGTATCTTGGGTGGAGCCACCTCAGCGAAAGCGTCGCATGGTACGTGGATTATCCCTATGATAATTCATGTCTTGTTCACTGTTCAACCGACCGTAGTGAGAACTCGTACCCTGAACGGACAGCTTCACTGTGAGTCTCACACTCAGCCGTGGATGGCAGTGACCCCGCGGTGGTGGCTGGCGCCGGTCGTTGGCGCGTGCCGATGGTACGTGACCGGAACTGTCTGACGGCTGCGACACGGAACACACGGGACCAGCCTTTTTCGACGCGTTCCTTTTTTATTTAACACAATGCCGTTACTATCCCGGTATAGTAACTGGTGTGGTACTATAGTACTTGACAGGTATAATACCACACCTAGTACCCTCCGCACAGCCAGCACAGGGCTCCCTAGCTCGTCCAGCTCACCTAAAGGCACGCCTCACCTCACCTCAGGCATACCTCACACTGGTCCCAAGTGTCACATCACAGCCAGCCCGGTAGCGCGCGGCCTCCGACACCTGTCGGCGTGTGCATTTCATATCGGTCCCCTGCCACGCGCCTCCTCATCGTTTGTCTTCGGCCGGCACCTCTGTGTCTCAAACGGGCGTGCGGCGCGGCGCTCGACGTGGCTCGACCGAGCACCGCTCCCCGCCGAGACCGGCGCGATAATTGTTTGGTGCGATGGCGGACACGAAGGCGTGAACAGAGGTGGGGAGGTGTGGAGAGATGTGGAGTGGACGCCGAGTGGGGCGCTCGCGAACCGAGTGCGTTTGTGGAGCGCCACCGGTACCGCCCCGGACGTGACTGAAGTGAACGCTGGACACGCGCCGACAGGAAGGAGAGGGCTGCTCTGAGAGTGTTTCTATGAATGGGGTGAATACCAGACGTCATAGTTCGCATTCTGACACCAAACACGCTCGGACGGTGTCAGTGAAAGACAGCTGGCTAAGCGATGTAAAATAAACTGAATCTCTGTTTGATTTGAGCCTTACTCGGGGAAGGATGTTAGAACGTCCTAGAAGTCAGAACTACGCAACGTGTGGTAATGTACCCCCGATGCCGTATTAAACACAGCAATGAATGCATTGGCTGCAGTGCATAATCATGCATATTGTGTGCAGTACTGATCAATGATCATCCTTCTATCGCCGTGTTTGGACATCAGTACATTTAGCTCCCATTCACAGTGTGACCGGCATGTCTCCGGCGGCCGTGGGTGCGCGCGGTGGCCGTGGGGCGGCCAATATTGCCGGTGGCCGCCACTGTGTGGACACGGCACCGGCGACGATAGCGGCCCGACGGTTATGGACAGGCGCGGCGCTTTATTGGGCAGTGCCAGGTGTGACGGTGGGCGACTGCGGTGCCTGTTAGGGGTAGGTGGGACCTCTGGGAGGGCGCGGATTTTTACTGGTTTGGTTCAATCACTGTTCGAGCTGGGAGGGTCCTATGCAGGAATATTGAGATATAGGTCCCAGACTGGACTGGGAGGGCTCTAATGGGGTATACCGGCTGCAGCTCCTGCCCGTGTTAGGAGGGCACTCCAATTCAAGAATACGAGGTCACAGGCAGCGCGTACCTGGCCGAGAGACAGCTATGCTTTGAACTGAAGCTCGGAACACTTGGCAGCGCAGACCGAGTCGCCGGATCTCTTACTTTGTATGGCAAATAAAGTCAGGTTCATCTCTCAATGGATCTCCCGCCAGTCAATCCCAATAGATCTCCCATTGGCTCAATGGATCTCCCGCCGCACCTCCTACCTTTTATGGTTATCAACGGCTTGCCCGCCGGATCTCCCCGTTCTGTGTGGTCCTTTTGATTCCCCACTCAGTAAAGCCCATCAGATCTGTCGGCTGCGCTCTGTCCTTATGTGGACGTGTGCTGTTTGCCAAACGACCCACGCTCCACGGCCTTTTAAAGCAACAACCGTTGAAGGCTCTATCTAAGCTGTCTCTTCTTGCCTGCAGTGCTGGGCTTACCAACAAATCAAATGTGCAGTCGACGGTGCTGAAGAAAGCCTACCTGCCTTCGATTGTGTATATACGCGTTTGTTGGAAATGAATGTCAGATTCGCCATACAAATGCGTTACTTCTGGTCCGAAATTTTGAAAGTTTTCATTCCTTTAATTGCCCTTGAATTTCCTATCATGGAAACGCAGTGGACGCACTCGATGCCCCACGCATATTTTGCGCCTGTGCTTTTGTCTCAGTTGCATCCATCTGTGTTGTGTTGTTCGAGTCCAGTTCCGGCCCTTCCCTGTCAGCGTAGGTTTTGTGTTGGTGTCGGTGTCTGCACTGAAACGCTGACACTGTCGGTCCTGATCATTGTCAGCGTCCGTCTTTCCTAAATCAGTGTCAGTGTCTCTGTTGTGTCTATGCATAGATGATAGACCACTACATATCTATGGTATATAGTGGTCTATGGTCTATGCCATCGCTGTTTCTTTTTCTTTCTTTTATGTATGACCTGTATCTTTTTCTTCCTTATCCGCAGCTGGAGGAGGAGAATAACCGTCTGCGTCAGTTACTGGCCGAGCGGGATCGCCGGATCGCCGGCCTGGAGGAGACCGCCGAGAGGGGAGCCCTCGAGCACCACCAGCTCCGTCTGCGCAACGACGCGCTCACCAAGGCCCTGTCGGCGCTCACCGCCAAATAGGGACTCACTCGCCGCGCTCTCACCGAGGGGAGGCCCCTTCTCACCGAAGGAGCGAGGGACGTCTCACCAGGCAGGCAGCGGGGTCTCACCGGAGTAGTAGGGCTCTCACTCGGCACCGGGCGTTTCACGGGGCGCGTCTCACCAGCCAGCAGACATTCTCACCTGAGCTGCCTGGCTTCTCACGGGGGAGGGGGATGGGAGTCGTTCTACAGTGATGTGGCATTTCCACACTGTTGCGACAGATGCTAGGAAGGGGTATAGACGGGCTAGGTGAGTCTGCGGGGGGTCGGATGGGCAGAACATAGGTATGGGGTGGTGGGTATATATTGCTATGTGTGAATAATGTCGAGATTATGAAATAGGGATATGGTTGGGTGGTACTTAAAGATGTGCCCAATAATGACGCTAATATGAAGTCAACAGATGTAAAATGTCTGATGATGTAAGTATTAATTAGTATTCAAGACAACCGAGCTCGGTAGTGCAGCTTATTTATAATAGTCCTTATTTTCGTTTTGTTTTTCGTTTCCACTGGAAGATGTACCGTAGGCTGACCATTTCACGTATTCCATAATGCGTGGCCTGCTAGGATTGCTATCGAGTAGGACTGACGGTATTCACGTTTTCCTTTAGAGCTGTCGAGGCTGGTCCGCTAGTAATGCTGCCCGGGGCTGACTAAGCGACTCGTATGGGTGTTCTTACATTACCAAGCCTGATGGCCGTCTGACTGGCTGGGGTTGTGGTGTAGGATGACGCCGTGCGTGGGCCGCGGGCATCAGCGGCCGAGTACAGCGAATGGTAGTGGAGCGTGTCCTGGCAGCGGGCTGCCGGGGCTCCGTGCCGCCGGCCGGACGGTGGGCTGACCGGCCCCAACGAGCCGGGGAGGCGGGACCCCTCGCGGCGTACCCGCCAGCGCGCGCCCAGAGGTGGCGGTGTTACACAGAAGCTATATGGCAATCGCCAGCGCTTCTGGTCGTCTAAAAGCTTTATGCAGTCTCGTCATTTTTTAGACCTTTTTGGATTTAGGCAACGCGAGTCGTTATTTAAGCTCTTTAGATCTAGTTAGGATGCTTTAGTATTCTGATGTAGTTAGCTTGCTTAATGAGGGAGACGCTTCTTTTGTTGTCGGCTTATATGCGACACTTTTCCGAAATAACATTCACATGCATGGAGGTTAATTGTGAGTCCTGTCCTCGAGGCATAATGTGGTATTATTTTCTTGGATAGGTATGCATACTTTGGTCTTTCATTATCATCTGACATTGTCATGTTTGACTATGTATAACTCATGTTCAGTCGCTTAATTCCTACTGCGCCCTAAATGGGTCCATAATAGACTGTACTTACATGTCAGCTAAAAGCTTTTAACTCGGTGAGGACCCATCGATTGTTAAACTGGCATCATTTATTAGCCGCGGGCATTTGAAGTATGAGTACAGTTTAAAGCTGTCAGGTTCCTGTCAACGTGAGCGGTGATGTGCGGAAAATGTAAGACCCTGTATCATTGTTTCAGATGTTATGCTCTCAATAAAAAGCGCATTCTCAGCTCGATTTTTGGTCCGTTCATCGTGTTCACTGTAAGCCGCGCGACTGCAGGTTTTTTACGGCTACGGAAGGACATACCGATTTGCCGACGATGCCTCGACCTTTTTGCTTGTGTTGTTGGATTAGGCCAGAAGGGCGAGGGGGGATCCTGCTGATAAGCATGGCGGACACTCCAGCCTGTGTCTGCGATGTGTGTTTAGGGCAGTCGAATGACTCGCTTAGGGCTATTAGGTATATTAGGTTCTGTAGTGATGCATTACTATAACCGGAACTTCCCAATAATCTTGTGTTTTCGGCATCAAGCATTAAACAGTATGTATTCGCGGCATATATGGAATACAGAGGTCTATTGCGCAAAGGCATCGCCCAGTATTGATTTGAAAAAGGTATGAGCAAAATGAACATTGTTAAACAGAGCACGTGCCATTAGTTGTCCGACAGTGTCATTTTGCACGCAGAACGCACGCTCAACATTTCAATTGATTATATGTCACGCCTGTGTGATAAAATGATACTAAACGGAAGCCGGAAATATTGTTAGTGGCCACGTGAGATTTGTACAGAGCCGCCGCTGGCTCTAATTGTGTTGGCTTGGACGGCCAGGGAATGGCACCGCTCTGCCGTCCCACCAGAGAATTCGACTGCCGTTAGACGGGCATGGACGCCCGTTACCAGAACGAGTGACAGATGGAACCGCATCGCTCCGCTCCGCTTTTATGTGGCGCTCCTCGCTCGGGGCTCCCTGCGTCCCAAGAGGCGTCCCTGGCCCGACGGCTGCCCTTCATGATTTTCCAATGAGTTCGTGACCATACCGCTTCGAAACCTGTTCCTCGCCAGCGACGGGAATGTTTTATTTCATGAACGTCTGCACCGCAGCGCACGTCTAATCAGTGACGTCATATCCGTCTAGTCAGACAGGATAATACCGTAGAACGTCCTGGTGCCTCTCACTTACGACAGGGTGAGCAGTTGACCCTGGACTGGACACACGTGTGTTCGGCTGTTGTGGCCTTTGTGCTACTCGTGCTGCATATGGAATATTCAGGAAGTTGTGGCCGGGATGTCAGTGATAACGACCTCACGCTGTTCGAGGAGGTCAGTGCGACACTGGAAGACGGCCTGAGTGGAGGTGACGCCGCCGGCCGGGCCGCAGTGACTCACACCCTGTGGCGTCATCCTGAGGCCGCGGCCTCGCCGCCCGGCCGGCCCAGGACCCCGCTATAAACTCAGTGCAGCCCGCGAGGTGTTCAGTGTACCGCTGGAAGCTCAGCGCGACCCGCGGTGGTCAGTGTTTGCGATGGCGAGTCTCTGTCTCCGAGGTCTGCTGGGCGGCCTTCTGCTGGTGGTGGTGATAGCTCAATCGAGGGGTGCTCGCCGCACGGCCCTGCTGACCCAAGTGCAGGCTGTGTGTCGCCACGGGGGCCGGTCCCCTCGGGGCACCTACCCGGCTGACCCCTACCGGAACGTCACCTGGCAGGGCGGGTTCGGCAGTCTGCTGCCGGCTGGGGTGGGTGACCAGGTGCGGCTGGGTGCCCTGCTGAGGAGCCGGTACGGCGCGGCGCTGCGACTCCAGTCTTGTCAGCGTATCAGTGTCATCTCCTCCGACCGTGACCGAACGCGCGAGTCGGCGCGGTCTCTGCTTCACGGTCTGTTCCAGGACACAGAGCTGGGCGGACCAGAGTACCAAGGCGGTCCTCTGCCGCCTGCCGACCCCATCTGCCCCATCCGCGTCATCCCCGAGCGGGACGATTTCGTGCTGCGGCTCGTGTCCCCTGAGCGCTGCCCGCGGCTCATCCTCGCCATCGAGGCCATGCTGAAGCGCACCCCCGAGTACCGCGACCTGGTGCCCCTTCTGAAGCGCGTGGTGGCTGAGCACGCCGACATACCGTCCCCCAGCTCCATCGACCTGGTGAACGTCTTCGACATCTTCCGCACTCAGCAGCTCAGCGGTCTGGAGATCCCGGAGTGGGCCCACCAGTCGCTCGGCTCCGGACTCCCCACCGTGTACGCCGCGCTGGAGCGGTTCTTTTTCCTGGCTTTCGGCAGCCAGGGTGCGCCGTCCACCCGCTCTCTATCAGCTGGAGGTCTCCTGCGGACCATGGTTGACACAGCTCGGCACAGCGACACGGCTCTGCGACTGTACGCGGCCCACGACACCACACTGGCAGCACTGGAGGCGGCGCTGGGCGTGTACTCGGGCCCCCTGCCGACCTCCAGCTGTCTTCTCCTGGAGGTATTCGCTGCCGCCGACGGCGCCCGGTTCGTGCGGCTGCTGCGACGTTCGGGTAGCTCTGGAGAGTTGCGGGAGCTGCCCCTCGGCTCGCGCCGCGGCCCGTGTCCGCTCACCAAACTGGAGGAGCTCCGCTGGCTGCCCGATAGTGTGGATGACGTCAAACGAATGTGCCGCCTGTAAGGGACGGCGATCTCGACGCTATTCGTCTGTTTACCGTGTTATGTTTAAGAGATGTTAAAAATGCTAGCCACATTATACTGAAACATATTTCATCAGATATATTTTAAAATATGCTTAGGTATAGTACACATGCTGCCATATCCATATAGGTACTTACTTCTTGTTCGTCCATTTTTAAACAGTGTTTAAGTCGTACAAAGGCTATACTGGCTCATGAATGTATAGATAAATTGTTCGTCATTTGTCCGATTTTTTTTTTCTGATGAAAGCACGCTTTATTTGAAAGTGTTATGCATTGTATTTGTACTAACTAGTTTCTAGTCTGCGATTCCTGCCAAAAATATTTGTTTATGAGCAAAATGAAATCATAAGGTGTATATCGCTGGGTAGTGGGCTGTGAGTAGGTATATGTGCGTCATGAATAAACGACTGGAATATTTCGGACTGTACCTACTATTTGTTATCGGGATTCGGGACCTACAGTTATGTTTTGCCACGCATAATTAATTGGATGATGAACCTTTTGAAAGGATATTTATCTATTACTCCTTGCAAGTTTTGGAATTAATAGCGAAGAGACCTCGGAGAAAACCAAGTCTTCAGACGAAGGCATCAACAATCGGACTATTGCAGCAATATAAATTTACGCAATGTAGGTACACACATTTTAGGGCTCACAGCTGGATTTTGTAGGTACCTCAAGTTTTTTTTTGTGACACTGAAATAGAATTGCGTAATTGCGTAATGGCGTATGGTGAACGTTTTTAATACGATGCGTCTTTTATTTTTAATAACGTATCAGGCACTTAAATTGTAATGTGTTTTAAGCGGCAAATACACAGAGCACATAAGAAGCATGATTGCCAATTCAAATGTATCTTTCAATAAGCTTTCAGCCTCTCAATGGGACTTATCCCTCGCATTGGTGATCATGCTCGGTTATACGTCAGTAGAGCATCGAGAGACGCGGTCGCATTCATCTATATAGGCACATAAATGTGTTCAGTCATGTATCTAATGCCTCTTTTCACTGCATCAGTCGATAAGTTATTTGGTCCAACATAAGTGCATAGGTGGAAAACCTCGCTGAGAAAGAAGGTAACTTACCACTTTCATCTTTACTTTCAAATAACAAGTCCCTAACAGAGGCCTCACTGAACGGGGAGTGTTGGGTTGAAATGAAACAAATCGCTTCAAAAATTTCCAACTCCCGAAAAATGAATTGTTGCAGCTCACCAGGCTCACCGTTCTGTCGTTGCTGGCAGAACGGCTGTTTGGCAGTGTCAGTTTTATTCGGCCCACTGCACTGGATCGGATCATTACTAGGAGGAAAACACATGAGGGGTCTGGGCATTTGTTAAAGTGCAACACACTTCGTCAGACTACCGTATTACCTACTGATAGAGATATGGTCTATATATGTCTTCGTTTATTTCAGACTGACCAATGAAAACGGTGCTAGAGCCCGGATTTTGTTCATGGTTCGTTTTTATATTCTCTACCAGTCATATGTCAAAGAAACCGAAATATTAACCCTCGCCCATGTAGGGGGGTTGGTGCAACCCCCCCCCCCTGAGGTTTTTCTTAGCTACACGCCGAACCGTTTCAGATAGCCTGCTCAAATTTTCAGTACCTTTTGGGGCATCCTTTGCGCAACTTTTGGTAAAAAAAAATTTTCAAGGTCATGTCAGGTCACGGAGTTATAACGTCATAAAGGGAACAACCTCCGGCCAGATTTACGCTAAATTGGAGATTGCTTCACATTGGTATAAATGCCGACTGACCTGACACACTGATGGATTGTTTTAGAATCATAACTGGCTGTTTTGACATTGGCACAATGTCCGTTGACCTTTTCAAGGTTACTAAAGGTCAAGGTCAGGTCAGTGACCTCGGTTGACCTGTAATGACTTCTTGCACTTGTATGCCTTTTCGGGGTATTTTGATGCCCTGAATTCGAATTTGCTATCCATTTCAGGCATCGTCGGTTGTTTCTTGTAGTTCATTTTGGGTCAGGGTCAGGTCAGTGACGTCACACGCCTGACGTGACCCAATGCACAAATGACCTTGCAGACTTCTGATGCTCCCAACGCATCATTTTTAGAGTTATGACATCGAAATACACACCAAACGATAGAGAATTGATCAAGGATCACGATAGTGAAGGTTTCAAGTCGATATCTCTTACCGTTTTGCCGCAATCGGCGCGGAAATCTGAAAAAGTTAGATTTTTCCGAAAATTTGACCTTTGACCGGTCATAAGTAGGTCAAATGTTGACCTAAGACCAAAAAATATACCACCAATCGCGAGATCTCGTTGAGAGCACTCCGTTGGTCTTTTCCGCTAAGCTCTACAACGCTCCGCTTTCAAACGCCAGGGGGGGGGGTCGCACCAACCCCCCCCCCCTGCATGGGCGAAGGTGGCAAAACACCGTTTACGGGCGAGGGTTAAACGGTCCTCGTTGATTTACTGTTTGTCATAAAGTAGGTAAATGCTGGAGGACTTGTTAGCACTAATTGCTAAGGGAAAGAGCCGGGGAAGAGGAACAAATAAGAAGGTGTAATGCGAGAAACGAAGTACCGGCATAACATGGCTAATTTTTAGCAGCTTTCACGTCTCAAGCGGAGAGGAAGTAATGTATTGAAGTGCCAACGAGTGGCATGTGTCATTTGTGACTCTAAAACGTACTTGACGGTGTCGGTAGCCGAATGATCAAATTACTTAATGGCTCAAAACACTCATTCCATAGCAATGTGAATCTCCCTTCTTACCAGTGAATCAAAATGAGAGCATAGCCTGTTATTTATATATAGTACGTGACGTGACAGTAGACGTAGCTGCGCATTGTCATCGAACAGTCACGTGGAAATTGTGGACTCTAAGAAAAAAAAATATTTGTGATTAGTCAACCACCGACCACCGACCACCGAGTAGTGGGCAGCTATACCTATCGGCTGTCTGCAGGGGCCACTTCCATCCGGGAAAGTGCTCGCTGTGGTCAAATGGTCACTAGTCTGATGATATGACAAGCTCGATTCCCGGCGCCACAGAAGCGTCAGGCGCCGCCCGCACACGCAGGATGTGTCCCTGTCCTGCCGGCCTTACAGTGACGTCACTGTGACGTCAGAGATGATCCCGGGCCGCCGCTGACGTAGCTGTTTCCCCGTCGCTCGGCCCCCTCTCTCCCCTATGTCCTGGTGTTAGCGGCTTCCACTATCGGTGTGCTAAATAAAGATGGGTTTGGGGCATTACGTGTGCTTTTCTCTCGTTTGCCATACGAATTTAGACTTCCAAAATATTTTATGCAATGCATTAGGTGTTTTTAAATTGATCATTAGTTGACACTTAGCAATAACACATAATCATCGTTGAAAAAAAAAACGTTCAAACACAGATACAGATCACTCGTAACAGTTGTGACGCAATCCACTGCTCCTCCCATCCCTTTCCCGTCGCTCTGTCCTTGTTTTCGGAGACGGCGGTGGCCGGCCATAAGACGTTATTCGCCCTCCCCAGGGGTCCTACCCTGATGAGCTGATGCCGGCAGCTGTTGGGGGCGGGCGAACCAGGATCTCCCCGGCCGAGACGGTCGCCGAGTCCATGACGGCTCCGGTCCAATGGCACCCATATCGGCCAAATAATGCGGCTCCGTGCCGATCGCAATAGTCCACAATAGTCCATCATCCTCTGATGGTCTGGTTCGAATTCCGAAACCGTGATCGGCATTCGATAACTTGACTGTAGGATCGTGGGTGTAACGCGGCCCCTGTTGCGATCAACGTCACGCAAAGATTGTACTTTGACCAGTAAGCCCGTGCAAAGATTCCAATTTGCATAAGCAGACAAAGCAGATGAATCATTGCACGCTGTCATGGACGTGCGATACCGACCATGAATGCATGCATTATGACTTCACACGTTGAAATGCAAGTTGCATGCTTTTTACAGTGTTCTCTGGGCGAAGTATCCTTGTCTCGTTGTTTTATAAGCAGGATGACAATAATGCACGCGTCAAAGACTTGGACTACGAGTCTAGCTGACCATCTGAACTTTAATAATCGTGCTGAATGTACCGACGGCAGTCGTTTATCTTCAAATCAACACAACAAGCAACAATGCAAAACATTTCTACGTTTTGATCTCCAGATCAAACTGCATTAAATGGTACAGATCGTTCACCGTATACATGCCATGACCTTTCACATCAAAAGAAGGCTTTCAGTCAAGCAGGTATGTTAACCCTCGCATGTGTAGGGGGGGGGGGTCGGATGGACCCCCCATGGTTTTTCGCGAATAACTCGCGTAAAAAGCGGCCGATCGCGACGAAACTTTCAGTACCCTCGCATTGATCAATTTTACACCTACCCTGAAAATTTCATGACCCTGACCCAAATGACCTTTGACCTGTGACCTCTTTTCCGAGACCATGTTTGGCCGGAATCGCGATTTCGCGTATGTCGGCTCGCACTAGCCGCGTGTTTGCAAGCTTTTCGTGGTTTCAAACGTTCAAACATGTGATTTGATGTTACTCCCGTGTGTGTCAAGGTCACCTGAAGGTCAGGTCAGGTCATTGACCTTTGGTGACCTCGGGTGACCTCGGGTCACTTTTTCGAGTTTTACATGTTTCTAGGCTAGTTTTTGGAGCTGAATTAGAATTTAGCAACCATTTGAACATTTACGAAGTAGTTTTGGTGACTTCGTAACATGTTACGAAGCTGTCAGAGGCGGTTGACACGTACTACGAATACCCGTCACGACGCCTACTGGTTGACCTGACCTGACCTGACCCGACCTGGTTTAAATGCTTCAAGACATCATCTGTGATCAAAACTAACACGATGTTCGTGATCAGCACCCCGAAAAACCCCTAGCAGCCACACTTTACGACTTTCTAACAGGTCCCGATTTTCCCGACTTTGGGTCATTGACCTGACCTGGAAGAATGACCTAGGACCTTAAAATTGGGTATCATCGGCTACCTCTCGTCACGGGCAACACGCTCGTTTTTTCCGCGAAGCTCTAGCTCGATCAGGGGCCAAACGGCAAGGGGGGGGGTCCAACCGACCCCCCCCCCTACACATTAGAAGCTGGCAAACGCCGCACACATGCGAGGGTTAACTGTCAAGTGCAGTCCTCGAACACTCAAGGAATAATGATCGACATTAGAGCTACTAGTTGGTCACATGTATGCCGTATCTGGGCACACTCCAGCAAGTGTAATGCACAAAACATGCCAATTATTTTTTCGCGGTTGTTGACTTCCTCGCTCAAGCCAGGTAAACACAATAAGACTGCTTCTCAGAAACATTACAGGGTTGAGCCGTGTCGCAGGTCGCGTGGGCTGAGCGTCGCTGCACCATTACACTCTGTACAAACTCGGCGTGTATCATCCCGCCCACCGGGCCTGTGATTGTCGGTGCGTCCGGCGAAATCCTGCACCCCTGCCGATGCCGCTATCACCCTCAGCCTCCCCGCTAATAGCGGCGGCCGGCTCAGCCCTGCACTGGCGCCATATTGGACAGATAGCGGGATGCGGCGGCCTGGCAAAACACACACCCATCGCCGCTGATGCTGCGGCCATAAAATAGAAATCATAGCCGGCCGATCAAGTGCTGGGTCAACACGGCCGGCCACCTTATGTTCCGGTGACGTCACGCGCCAGGGACCGGTGGGCGGCGGTCCGGGCTGCTGGCGTCCCCCACTCCCCACCCCGAATGTGGCCAAATGGGGGCGTCCTCGAACCGATATAGAAAACAGATGTTGCGTAAGCGGCAAACAGGAACTGCGCAATGCGCATCTAATATTGTTTTACCATTTGACAATTCCATTCAGCTAGATACTGGAAGGATGCTGGAGGGCTTTCAGAGCGGGAACAGTAGGGAAGAAGAACACCGTTACATTTTCAGACGACCAGTGCAAATGTTATAAATCATGTAGGCTGGTGCAAGAGAATCAACTCTCCAGCGTTTCTCTGCGCGAAAGGAAATGACATCACGAACCGTTAGCTATCTATAGGAAGTAAGTGCTGACCTATAACCCATGATGTAATTTTCCAGGTCTGATGCGATGTCGTGGACGGTTTGATGACGTATTTGGTTCGTTGAAGACCTGGTAGTTTGATTGAGGGCGGTAGCGGAAGACCTGGTAGTTCGGTCCAGCATTGAGAGGAGGTAGCATCGTCATGTGCCATGTGGACTGTGTGGAGTGGCACTCTGCGGAGTATGGAGCCTCTCTCCGAGGCAGTGAGGAGCGTCTTCTGGCCGTGATACTCGTACAGTGGAAATGTCATCCAAGGTCATTGGAGAACACCTGAGACCGACTTTTAGCTAGAACCACTGTAAGATATGTGCATTATCTTGTAGCGTATTCTGTTCTGTTTCATTTGTCTATAGAACGCCACTTGAGCAGTGGCGGCGCAACACCTTCAATTAAGAGGGGGGAGGGGGCACTGCCGACTTTTGGTCCCATTCTTTCCACGCAACACCCATAGGGCTAATGTTAAAATGCCAAAAACCGAGGGGGCACGGTGCCCCGATGCCCCCCTCCCTCGTTCCGCCGCCTATGCACTTGACTGTCCCTCTCAACATTTTCCCCCGTATTTTATTTAATACCTGCAGCTACACTATGAGTTTGATACATTTGATGATTCGATTCATACCATCTGGCATCTTATCGTGTAAAATAATAACGGAGACGTTGCGGAGCAGAACTGTGACAGAACCTTCACGGGAATAATAGCTTGCAGGTTTCTCTAGTATGTGCATTGTACATTCATATTTTCAGAGAACTTTCTATTGTAGGTATATATTCTGACCAGTATAACGCCTTTTGGGGCGACTAACGGAGCGAGCGAGAGGGTGAGCCTTGCACGTGCGAAATTTCGAGGGGGTACCTCCAACTGACTCGTGCACGGCACCCTAATAACTGGTTTCTAGCGATGTGCCAGATTTGAGCACAATCGGCCCAGCCGTTCTCGAGATCTGGAAGCGACACCCTGCACGTGCGCACGTGCAAAATGGGTCCCAACTGAATTATGCACGGCACCCTACTAACCGGTCCCTAACTGTGTACCAAATTTGAGCGCAATCGGTCGAGCCGTTCTCGAGATCTGGAAACGACCCCTGCACGTGCGCACGTGCAGCAGCACCCCAACTCTGGCACATGGATATGCAGTGCCTAGTGGGTGCCTACCTATATGCCAACTTTCAGCGCAATCGGCTAAGTAGTTACCGAGATATTGCAACAATTACAAAACTGACACCTCTTCGTTTTGCACGTGGCACGTGCATAAGGGGTCACCCACATGCACCGGGAATAGTCCAGTACTTGGTAGAAGGAATGAAGCTACCCTACAAAAATTACCGCGTGTAAATCGGTCAAGTGGTTGCTGAGATATAAGCTTCGCAAAAGCGTCCGCACGGCCGGCCGGTCGCTCATACTCAGAATTTTCCGTTAATCTAAGGAAAGACTACGCTCGCTTCGCTCGCTCCGTAACAACCATCATTTTCAGCATTTTGTCATTTAAAAAGTTATTTGACAAAATTACTTAAGCAAATTACAAAATACGATCTCTGAAACAACGCAGTAGCCTTTTTCAATTTAAAAAGAACGCCAAAAAAGTAGTAGTGTCGCGTCTCATTTGAAGTGGTAGCCGGTAGGTCATGAAACCATGGCTTGAGGTATTGGTAAGGGGCAAATCCTGCCAACCAGGTAGACCTTTAGTCATTAAAGCAGCCTTTCAAATAGCTGAATTAGAAACTTCATCGTGCCTGCACGCAAGTTAATGTTGATTGACAATACCCGATGAACGGCTAACTGCTGGGGGAGTTGCTGTCACCGCTATGCAGCCTAACTGTCCCTGGTGCGTGCAGGGGTGTCTATCCTGTATCGTGTGTATCCCTGCACACCTGAGCCGCCCTGCGCAGACGCGCCCATATCCGACGCTCTGTCGGCCGGCAGCTTCGGTGGCCGCGCCACGATAACGGCCTGTATATAGTGGCGCGTGGCCGTCCGTCCGTCAGCAGTCAGCCTCGAGCGGCGCAGGTCACGGCCAGGTCAGCTCTCAGGTCACCCCGAGAGGATCACACCAGGTACGCAGCAGGTGGTGGAGTGGCACACAGTGCGGGGACAGTGGCACAGACCGGCGGAAAGACATTTGCGGCATTGTATGGCAAGGTGTTACGATCGGTAATGATGGAAAAGTGGCTCGTATATTAGTATCACTGCATTGAGTAGTGCGTGTTTTATTTTTAAAGGATATACAAGACACCTGCGCCAATACGTTCATTCAAAGCGCGTTACATGTTTAGTAATGAATCTGTAAAAAAATGTAACATTTACAACGGAAAACTGTGCTTCTGAACTGATAGTTATAAGGTCATTTATGTCAAAGCATACTCATTGAACATTTTTGTAATCAACCAAAAATGATAGCAAACACTTTTTGCAAACACTGATATAATTAAGCAAATCAGTAAAGTGCAGTTCTCAAAGCTAATAAGTAACAGTTTTCCTTCAAAATGCTCACTATACTAGATGTCTTTAAGCTTTTTTTTATTTCTTGACTATGAAAACAAATCATGTTTTACATCACCGATCACATTTTTATCACACCACCGATCCGCGAAATTCATTTTTAACTGCATTTGAATCACACCATCTTAACGTAAATATTATCAACTCCATTAAACGTTGTCCCCCAAAGAAACTTTACTCAATTCATTACGAGTACTCTGTCAAACATGCAAGTCCAATTTTCATAAACTTAATGAGGAATAGCATCAGCCACTCACTTAGATGCATTCAAGTCAGCTGCGTCCAATGAGCTATCAAAATCGAATTTATCTCAAGAGAGGGAGGTCTTCTGCGTAGTTTAGAAGCCTGGCGTCCTCAGGGTGTCTGGTTTTTCTCATGGTGCATTATGGTCTGATAAAAGCATTGTTAGTTGTTAAACTGTCATGCTACAAAATAAACCAGAGCTAGCGTAACCTTTGTTACACTTTGTGGACTAAACACATTGCTGGAAAACGGAGGGAACGCTTAGTATCAACTCACTGGAAGCAGTAAAAAGACACATTTTGCATAACAATAAAAGTTAAAACGTTTGGCGTTGTCCAATTCATAGGCGGCGGAACGAGGAGGGCATCGGGGCACCGTGCCCCCTTGGATTTTGGCATTTTAACATTAGCCCTTTGGGCGTTGCATGGAAAGAATGGGACCAAAAGTCGGCAGTGCCCCCCCCCCCTTAATTGAAAGTGTTCCGCCGCTAATGGTCCAATTGCGTAAAGAAGTGATTAAACTAAGCAAACTTTTCAGCTTTGCCTATTTCATACAATCTGTATATTAAAAGGTTTCCTTTTGATCGAAAATACCAATCTGAAGTTAATTGTAGATCGAGTAAGAAGGAGCGTTGCGTCGAAGAACTCATAGAAAGGCGGTGCAGTGCTTGCAATGGATTTTAGCATCGTTGGCGATTCTTAGCCACCTTTCACGGAATCTAACAGAGTCCAAATGTATCAAGTTACTTGAAATAATATTATTCCGCTCCCCACCAGCAGTCTCCTTTTTTGCCCCTCTAGCGAGTTGCCCGGCGCGGACCGCCGCGCTGGGATCTCCCCTAGTTCAAACACCTGCCCCTAGATGGCTCTAGTGTCGTCCGCCTGCGGTTATGCTGTACCGCAATGCACCGAAACTGAATGAGCGGCCGGCGGCGGGCGACTCGCGTGGCGGCTGACGACATGAGCTGGTCAATAGTCACCGCTGAACTAACTGAAGGTTAGGGTGAACAAGGTATTAGTTTCACTTCATGGTGTGCTTATTGGCCAAATTCATAGAAGTCATGCTTGTCATTTTCTCTTGAACAGTTTGTGTTCAATGCGCTTTGGCTAGCTTCTGGTCAGAAGCTTGACGATAAGGGTATGTGACGGTTAAGGCGATTTCCATGCCGTTGGTAGGCTTTACAACTGCAAAAACAATAGAGGCATCGACATGTTGGTATATTCAGTGAAGCCGGAACTGAGAAAATTTGACGATCATTGCTGAATCAGTGTCCTTAGTACCTATCAGTACAATTCATTTATCAATTTTTTTTTTCTTTTCTTTTTTGCAAGTGCGTAAGCTGATTAGAATTACTTCTACCTAAAAGCCTTCAGTATCCATCTTATAGTAAATTCAGTTACATGCTTTATAATTACCAAGTGCGACATTGTCCTTGTTGCTTTAGTCCAAATTCGTAGTTGAACATTATGTCTTAACCCAGTCACTTTTAAAGAATCTCACGGCCAAATGCCTGTATTTTAATGCATTCGACACTCTTCCATTTACGTACAATTCTTATTACGTTTCTGGCGTCATGCCAATCTACTCTAACATTATGGCAGATTCGGCATCATGCAATTCTTCTCAAGTTCTCAGAGCCATATAATGTGATGGAGGATTGGTGTGCCAAAGACGTTCCAGACCTTTGGATTTTGTTCTGTCACCTTTCAGCCACACATCATGCCTGCTTATTGGGTGCACAATGCCGTGAATCTTCAATAAATTGAAACAATGTCCCAGCTGGCTGGACTGACATTTGAGTCGTGTTTCGACACGGTACAAACAGGTGTCAATTGGTTCATTTGTCCCTTGTTGTTTGGAACGAAAAATAAGATCATTTATGCATAGACCAATCACACACACCCGGTCTAACGGGCTCCGATGTCTTATGATGCTCATCAAGGTGGTGTTTTGAGCACTAAACAGCTTCCTACAAATATGGGTTATTGAATTTACCAACATTCGTTGGGCATGAAGATTGCATCTGGAACGTGTTAACATGCAAACGGTGACGTTTTTGTTTATTTGCGATATATATCACAAGTATAAAAGCAGACGGTCGTAAGGCCTAAATCACAAGAGAATGAACAAGTCATATCAGAATTGAGGTTCGTTGTACCTTGACGTCAATGACCGGTTCAAGTGCACCCATATGCGTGTGCCACGCTAATGCTGGCTGTGACATTGGATAAGAAGGCACGTGGCGAGAAGTTGATCGGCTAGGTAGGGGTCATCAATATTCAATTATGGTAACGAAACTGTCCTAGGGGAGCCTATATGCCGCACGCACCTAAATACGGGCGCAGTCGGCGCACCTCGGTAGGCGCCGCCCTGCTCTCAGCCTGCATCCTTTTGTCAGCCCACACAAACTCCTTCGTGTGTCTATTAACGTTCCGAAACAACGCAAAAATCCTACAGTTGTTCAATCCCGCTCGATCAACCGTATAGATGTCGATGCCCTGAACTCTGACCTGATGTTTGCCGATTGGGAGGGCGTGTTTAGTGCCACGAACGTAAGTGACCAGTGGGATGCTTTCCTGACCGAATTTCTGCCGATTTTTGACGATCACGCACCTATAAAGAATATTACCATCCGTAATCCTACAGCACCACCAGTTACCCCCGCCACACTTAAAATCATGGATCAACGTCGTACCGCGTTACAGCAGTTCGGTAGAAAGTCGGAGGTTTACAAAGACTTAAACCGAACTGTCCGGGCCGCAGTGCGGCGAGACCGTCGCGGCGAACTTCACAGAGAGATTAGTGGGCGGGGTCCCAACAAGGTGTGGAAAAGTATTAGGTCGGTTGTGGCTGGTAAGAAAGACGGACCTAGTGTTCAACCTGATGTATCGGCTGACGTTTTAAATTCTTTTTTCGTTTCTGTGGGTCCCCGCGTCGCTACAGAGATCCGTGACCAAAATCCAGTTGTTGAGCAAATTGGCCGTTTGCCGCGTGTCGTAACCGGTAGATTTAAGCCCAGACCTATCTCTCTCGGTGAACTCGGTCACACCGTTTTCAATATGCGCAATTCTGCCGCCTGTGCGTCTGATGGCGTCTGCATTCGCATGCTGAAAACTGCTTTCCCATCTATCGGTGACGTTATCCTTCACATCATTAACACTTGCATCTCAAGGTCCGATATCCCCTTTCATTGGAAACACTCTATAGTTCACCCCATCTTCAAGTCTGGAAACCCATCTGATCCCACTAATTTTCGACCTATCTCCTTAGTACCTGTCATTATGAAGGTGGTCGAGCGAGTCATTCACAAACAGCTCTATCGCTATCTCTCCCAAAACCATCTTCTGGCCAATACCCAGCACGGTTTCCGACCCCGGCACTCAACTGAGACAGCACTTCTGTCCGTCAGTGACCAAATCCTGGCCGCCACCGATAGGGGGGATGTCTCTATGCTATGCCTTATTGATTTAAGCAAATGTTTTGATGTCATCAACCATGAGTTATTACTCGCTAAATTGGCAATGCACGGCATAGAGACATCCTGGTTCGCCGCTTATCTCCAGGGTCACACACAGAGTGTGTCATTGAAGGACGAGTCCGGTCGCCGGGTATTATCACAACCTCTCCCCAACTCTATGGGCGTCTTTCAAGGCTCGGCACTCGGTCCCTTACTCTTCACGGTATTTTCCAATGATCTATCACTTTATTCTGAGGATGCAGCAGTCTTCCAGTACGCTGATGATACTCAATTGTTGGTGAGTGGCCCTTTAAACGACCTTAGGGGACTCATCTCGCGCTTGGAAGCGTCACTGGCGTCTCTCAACCATTGGTTCAGTGCAAATGCTCTTAAAGTAAACACTGCTAAAACTCAGCTCATGGTTTTCGGCAGTCGGCAAAATTTGAGAAGCATACCTGCTTTCACCGTTTCTTTTCGCGACACCAAACTAGTGCCATGCAAGCAGGTGGGCAACCTGGGCGTTATCTTCGACGGCACCCTGTCCTGGGACGCGCATGTGTCCGAGCTCAGTCGCCGATGCACGGGTCTCCTAATTGGCCTCTCCCATGTCCGCCACTATCTCCCCGACGGTGTCACCAAGACACTAGTGGTGGCTCTCGTCATGTCACGGATCCAGTACTGTCTCTCCGTATTTGGTAATGGTAGCCAAAAGAACTTCGATCGCATTCAGAAAATTCTTAACTTTGCCGCTAGAGTCATTTTCGGTCGCCGTAAATTTGATCATGTCTCCCATCTCCGGGACCAACTCGGCTGGATGGCACCTAAAACAATGGCTGAATACCATACCCTTATCACGGCGCACAAGGCCATCCAGAGAGGTGAACCCGAGGAGATCGCGACCCTATTTTCCAAAAATTCCCAAACACGAGCAAGGTCTACTCGCCAAGACCACCTTTTCCACTTACCGCGACCCCGACTAGAGACCGGAAAACGTAGATTCGCCTACCGTGCCGCGGCGCTCCTAAATACTCTCCCCCTCGAGCTAACGCAGTTGCCTCCAGCCAGATTTGCCCGTGCTGTAAAAAAGGGGCTTAAGCCTAGCCAGAGTAGTCATAGTAGCTAGCCTCATGACTCTTGGACTATGAAAGGCAAACGAGTCTGTGTGTACATAGTTATGAACGCGGCTTCGTGCGGGTTACACCAAGTATGTGCGTGTTCTGCGTTCGCGTTGTGTATTTCGTATCCGTAAGTGTGTGCGTTTTCTTGTGTAGGTACCTATTTCTTGTGTTATCTTCAACCAGCTCGGACTCGGAGTGTAATCGCCACGCCGATTGTGGATTGCTCTTGATCGTCAATACATACATACATACATACATACAAAATCGAACACTTCCGCTTTCACCCACTTGCAATCGTCGGTAACATACTGACATGCTCTAACAATTCATAATTACGTTTCGTCATGCCGGTTTTGTGAACAGCTAAAATGTGCAATAGATATTAATCTTGAGGTGTATTATTAATCACTTGAATTCATTTCAAATAGAGCGGTTTTACTTGTATGATGTTGTAGTGTGAATATCTGGGTCCTAGCCCAAAATCGTTTCCTCAAAGTAGTGTCTCCTTTATGATTTAATGGAATATGATCTACAATCAAGATTTGTGAGCCGCAACTCGTGAGCGATGCACGCAAAGCATGAATGAATCTTTTGCGAGGCTCATTTGATAAAAGGCAATATCACATGATAATGCCTCATTTGACAATGAACTCTAATTAAATTCCGATAAGAAACGTTCTTTTCACTACGCTGACTTTCGTACTAAGCCGCTCGTCTCTGTTACGCAATACACAGATACCATAAATCACGTGTCATGCATGCAAGGACATACGCATACGCATGCCTGCATGCATCACCTGAACCCCGCCTATTACTCAACGCTCTATGCCAGTTCTAGGACAGTCTTAGCGTTCGCTGTGATGTCCGCGCGCGGGTCAGTCACCGGTACGACGTTTCGCCTCCCTCCGCTGACCGCTCAGCGCCGCATCGCGTATACCGTGTGATCCACGCTGACGAGCGGTGCCAATTTGCAGCGTCAATACATCGGAGCTGATTACATTGCGACACGATGGCCGTCCGACGCTGCAGAGCAATGGTCGATGCCACGTGCCAGCTTTGGCGTTGGACGGTCCTCGACCTAAAACAGTCTGATGATATGGAAATAATGCGCGGTATAGATTTGTGAAAGTAAGTGTGCAATTGTGCGAAGCAGTTTGAAGCAATACAGGGTTGGCTGTAGGTGCTATACATGATGTTTTTTTTTTAATTGCCTCGTTCAGGTCACGTATCACTTCCTCATAACTTTGCCTGAAATGCCGTAGTGTCTATAAGTTGGTGGCAGACGCGCCCAGTTTGGCCTAAGTTTTCTCTAGACGCACTGCAAATGGCTATTCATCTAGCTTGTCACCAAATGTGGCTTCCGCTAGAAAATTTTATAATCTAAATTTTTCCTAACCCGAAATTCCTCTGTACAGTCGATGGAAACTCCATCTGAGCGACAAGGTAATCGGCCGACCCGATACACCAGTGCCCTCCCTCATCAAAGCACAATGTGCAGTCACAGCCGCCTCTCCGGACCCGTTAAAGTCGGATTGATCCCGCGCCTGAGCTGATCTATGGTGAGCGGCGGCTGATCTCTCTGAATCCCCGCGGAGATGCGCAATCTCCGACCGAGATGGCTCAGTAGCAGCACCGACTATAATGTCATTCAGGCGCCATTTTTAGCGATGGCGTCACATCTTGACTAGATGGTTACCATGACCGGTAGTCACAGTCCGGCCGGACAGTCATGTCTGCCCATTTCCCGACACTCTCGTAGACAAAGCCCTCGTCGACATCATGACTGAACCGCTGTCCGTAATGGCACCGCCGTTCAGAGGAGTTATACTGGTCCGCAGCGATGCGCACTTGCGCTCGTGCAGCCCCAAAGGCGCAGTTAGAGATGGCTCGCCTAGCATATCATCTTGGCAATGTTTGACCACGTGCGTAGAAAACAAAGAAATAAATTCCGGACCAGTTGACTGGTAACCGACTCAGGTATTGCTTGGTCGATGCAAAGAGATCAGAATTCACGGTACTCGTGTGTCTAGCGGTTGATCTGAGCTGCATATGATGCTATCAGCACATTCGTGGGCACTAGTGGTGATACGTTTGATGATATTGTGCAATGCATGGTTTGATGGAGGGAAAGAAGGGGAAGAAAAGAAGAGAAGTACATAAAAGGCATACATCGTGCTTCATGTCAATCCCTCGTCTAAATGCTCTACCTTCACCCTACTTTCCCTACTTTCCTGACATCGTTCGTGTGTGATGCCGTGTTCCCTGACTTCGTTTCTGTTACAATGTTAGTGTTTGACACAGTCCTTATCGCACCTTGTCTATCGTACTATCAGTGCCCGATCCCTACCCTGACCGGCCTCGTTAGCTACATATGGGAGCCAGCTCGAGCCACCGTATCTACTAAACTTTTGTCTGACTTGGTCGTCTCCGTTAGCTAGGCAGGCTCGAGTTAGATACCATGTGTAAGTGTATTACACTGTCTGTGTCTGTGTCCTTGTCAGTCAGACAGAGAGACAGACAGACAGAGAGACAGACAGACAGAGAGACAGACAGACAGACAGACAGACAGACAGACAGACAGATAGACAAACAAACAGACAGACAGACAGACAGACAGACAGACAGACAGACAGACAGACAGACAGACAGACAGACAGACAGACAGACAGACAGACAGACAGACAGACAGACAGACAGACAGACATACGTCTGACACTGCCCTGGTCTCTGCCGTCAGCTATGGCAGCCACCTCCAGCCACCGCGTGGCGATGCTCGCCGCCCTTCTGCTCACATTGTTAGCCATCCTGACCCAGGTGCGGTCAGCGCCACTCGACGGTGTCTACAGCCCCTACAGGTCAGTGAAATACCGCGTCTCCAGCCCCTAGAGGTCAGTGAAATACTGCGTCTTCGGCCCTTAGAGGTCAGTAAAATACAGCGTCTTCAGTCCCTACAGGTCAGTGAAATACCGTGTCCTCAGCCCCTAAATGTCAGTAAAAAAAAAAAAAAAAATCGGCGTCTACAGTTCCTATATGTCAGTTAAGTACTGTGTGTACCGCCTCCACAGATCAGTGAAATATCGCTTCTACTTCCACAACACAAATCAGTGACGTATGGGTACCGGCACACACGACCACTCCTCGGGAGGTTGGCGGTATACACAAAGGGCCCCGCTCCGTCGACCTGTGGGCTGTAACAGATATGGACCAGAGTTAGCTGGATACAAAACAAAAAACTAAATTCTACGGACAATAAGTACTGGACTTCGGGGAGTAGGTACAGGCTGCTTCATGTAGGTGCTAATGAGGGCATGTCTGCCTGGATCTCCCAATTTACCTCAGGGAACTCACAAAAACGCAGCGCACAAAAACAAAAACAAAAACTTTAATTGAAAAAGTATTCCTCTAAAGATGACCAATAACGATGTTAGTGTCTATATCCCAATGCTCGTTTCCATGCATGGCTGCATTACAGAGAACGCGATACCTTTGTTTTCATCTATGTTATGCTATGCACGCAACTGCCTAATTGTCGCATAAGCAAACATCCCTGAACGAACGTTAGTTACATTCTTCTCTGTATTATGTACTCCAATATCTCTCGGCAATGTTGATCGAGCCCCTCCCTTGTGACCACTAAAGTGCTCATCACAGCGTAGCTCGGCGCTTCTCAGAACGCCACCTGGAAACTCCCTATATTGGCTGAATGTAAATGCTACTTGACACTCGCTGAACGATTGTTACTTGATACTTGCGCTTTACAGTTGTCACTTGACACTCGGTCGTAGGAATTGTAATTTGACACCAAACTGTCATCCGACACTTCGTTAGTCATCATCAATGACTTAAAAGCTGCTTGTCATCTGAATCTGACCGGGTAGCAGTGTATGACTATCCCCTTTCACCTCTGTGTGGCTCGTTGTTCCCAGCGTGGCGGAGTCAGATGAGGCACCCGAAGTGCGGAGCCCGAACGAAGCGCTGCTCCTACGCCGGCTTCTGGAAGACATCCGCTCGGGACAGATCAAATACAGGTGCGCTCTTACATCTGTAGGACTCATCAGTGGAATTAACTCAGAATAATTTTGAATTAATTGGTCAACTTCTCTTATTTACCAGCTTGACTCGCCGCTAATCCTTACTGACGCTCAAGCAAAAACAATTATGAGAATAGGTAGGTATGCAAACATCCGTTACAATGTCTCTTACTCGCTCGCAATTCGCATTTTTACACATCCGCTTCAGTTGATCAAATACCGGTGCGCTGAGACGAGTGACATTCCGAGTTCTCACACATTTAAGCTCTTCTCTCTACTCGAAACATGATGAACAAAATGACCTTTGACTACCTCGACTTTGAGTTCGGTCAATTCGACGATACGATCGCTTCCAGGCACTCGAACACAGAATCAGCTAATGACACAATCACCAGTCGCTCCCAGTCTGCTGACAAGTAATCAACACCTGTAATCACAGGAGGCCAGTGTGCCAATTGGCGCATCGACCGATGCGCGTTGCATTTGCAGCGTGCACCACTGGGCCGGGGTGATGCCCGCGTCAGGCGCCCTATGCAGTACGCTGGGGATGGATCGTTCCATGGCCGTCTGCCAATCACCTGTGACCCGTATAGCGGAGCGATGCGCTGTGCCGTACCCGAGAGCCCCGCGCCCTACAACCTGCAGTCGATCGGGAGACCGGCTATAGACGATCGGCGACGGAAAAACACGCTCTGGCGAGCGAGGGAGCGCTCCTGCTGTACCTAAGCATTCGTATGTTTTATTATTTTTTCCGTCGATTTCAATAGCTTTTAAATTACAGGGTACAAGCTGTACGAGATAATTTAAATGCATTTACCATTAGGGTACACTGACGAATTTAAAAAAGATGGCAAAAACCCACAATCGTTTGCTGGTATTTCTTTCTCCGTCATCCCCACCTCCTTCCCCATCTCAATAATCCTGTATAGATCCGCCAGTTATATATATTGAGACGGGTTACACAGCACATTGGGTGTCAGCACATTTGTCTATTACTACTCAACTTGTCAGACATGAGCGGAATAAGCACACCCAATGTGCTGTGTAACCCGTCTCAATATATATATTTGTCTATTACTACTCAGATCCGCCAGTGTGGGACAAAAGTGAGGGTCCGACCAGTTCCTACGATACCAGCCAATGATCTATATCCCACTGCCGCGGCAACACGACGACAGTATAGCGATGCATCGTTAGTCGTAAGCTCTATGGGCAGCCGAGCTGGCGCAGCTTTTGGCCGGCAGCTGAGCCGCTGCTCTGAGCTGCGACAGCCGCCGGCCGTGTGCGGCTAATAGCGCCCGCGGGCATCGGCGCGAGGCGTTACGAGAGCGCAGAGCGGCGCGGCCGAAAGGACAGGATACGCTATACGGTGGGGTAGGCTTTGTCACCAACTCGACGGTATAATGAACGGAGCACTGAACCGGGCTTTACCAATCGCTATTGATTGCACAGATCGGGTCAGCAGCCTGGTACTTTTCCGAAAGGTCTATTGGGGTATAAAACTAAGCCGATAGAATTGTATCTTTTTAGTGTTTGCTTTGATGATAATTTCTCAATGAAAATTGGATTGCGTTGTACCCTGCTATTTACGGTATGCATCAAGGTACCCCAATTGAAGCATAGCAAATATGAAGCATGACCTGATCAAGCAGCGCTGACACGCTGCCTGCCGAAATTGTGAGTATAACTCATATCATATTTATATCATATCATATCATATCATATTAGAAGCTTGCCAACGCTAATTATTTTGTGGGCCTTTATCTCTGTCCTATCCTTCTTCTCTCTTTCTCTCTCTCTCTCTCTCTCTCTCTCTCTCTCTCTCTCTCTCTCTCTCTCTCTCTCTCTCTCTCTCTCTCTCTCTCTCTCTCTCTCTCTCTCTCTCTCTCTCTCTCTCCATCCCATCTCCCTCTTTTTTCTACATTCCCACCTCACACCAGTAATAATGTTTAACATCAATACCTCCCCACGCACAGACACTACATCAACAATCCTATTACTGTTTGCCATTTCCCACAAAAACGTTCCCTTTCCTTTGAGTGGCACACCTTGTGTACTTTGCCTCCCTGAAGCGCTGTTGACGGACGAGTGGGCCCGACCTCCCACCACCCATTCTCAGGCAAGGTGGGACATCGCACACGCGGTGGTATTGAATTCTGTTTGTCACCGTCCGCCTACGACGCCTCATCTGCCGCTGTTGTCGGCCCTAATTTGGTGGTGACGACCACCGCTGACCGTCGAGACAGCGTCGCGTCGGTACCGTCGCGTCGCCGCTGCCGACGGAACCCGACTCCGCAGTGTCAACACAATAATGTCACGGCACGTTTGGCTGCAGCGGCCACTGTGTATCGCCGATCGCCGCCGCCGACACTAGACCAAATGGGATTGTCGTTCAACTAGTACCGGCGTGACCAGTTGGTTTGGGTCAGCTTTGACGGAAACGAGACGTGATGCAGTAATGTGGGGCACTGCGTTTTTGGGGCCTCAAAAGCTTTAGTTGCAGCATACGCAGCGCCATTTCATATGACAGCGCTGGCAAGCCACATGAGGCGACTAATTCCGCGAACATCAGAACTCCGCATTCTGGCAATTTTCCTTCAATTATTTGGTTCAATGACCAACGCTAAGCAATGACCGTATCCTGGAACATAATAGCTAAAATACAAATTGGCTTATTTACTTTTCCCATGATAAAAAGTAAAAGGCCTGCGGTTATTCCTGCAACTTTAAGCTTAAATATCGATGAATGCCATTTTTTATTTAAGCTTTTATATTTCACTCTACAGAAAAATGTAGCGCTTAGTGAAAGTGTATTATTTAATATAAATAGTTAACTCTCTCTCTCTCCTCTTTCGCTTTCCCTCTGACATCGGCAAACTCGCGTAATTCTACTACGCAGATGGCAAGGCGTCTGGAAATAATGACAAGCGCCACCCTCATATTTACGCACGGCCTCTGAACATCACAGAGTCTCTCAGGAGGCAATGAACATAGCCTGGCAGTTGGGGCCTCATTATTTACGCACTCACTCTTGCCTCGGTTGACCTCAGTTGCTCGTTAGGTGGACTCAGGTCCGACCGCAGACCCGACCGTTTCAGATTACTCACGGCCGCCTTTACATAATGATTAAGTACGTTTTTTAACGTAAGAACTCCAAACGAACTGGTAATGAGAAGTGTGCGCTCCTGATTTATTTTGTGCGATCTACGTCTGTACACGTAGAGGTTATGTTACGTGCATTGATCGCACTATCATTTTCAGTTTGTTTTGCTCTTTCTCCCATGTACTTTCCTCTATATAGGTATCTTGATTGATACTTGATACCCTATGCATTGTCTGTTACTTGTCTATATGGACCTAAAAGATAAGTTTTCGGTGCTTTTTCAACTCTTTCGGTGACGGTTGTGCTCATCAACTCGGCTCTGTTTTTTCCCTCCCGTCTGGTGACCCCTCACTGACCTGCACCATCACCGCAATGGCGGCAGGATGGCACGAAAGCGGGCCTGCCTGATCAACTCGCACTCCTGCGACTACAAGGACATGGTGGGCGCGCGTGACGAGGCCAACTACTTTGTCTCGCGCGATTACCCCGGTAAACGGCGGAGACGCGCCGTCTGAACGGCGCAGGACACGGTAGGTCGGCGACCCGCGCCGCGTCGGTCCCGACTGCACCCCGACCGCCGACCACGGCCCGACCCCCGAGACCCGAGATCGGCCTCAGGCACTGAGATAGTGACAGTCTAATCGGCTTCTCCAGAGGCTCGTGATGTTTGTCTCATTGGCTTACCCTTGCGAATTCTGTCATTGATACGGTCATTTTGTACAACCTATTGAGCCAGAAGTCAGTAGCCTGAGGCGATTTTTGTGTCACGAGAAGAGCCGTGGTCGGCGGTTTGGAGAAGCAGTTGGACCGTCACTCTCACATCCGAACGTTTTCTCGGTTTCCAGGTCCAGAGACGGCGACCCTACAGCGGCGGCTGCTAACGCTCACGTATAACATCTAACGTGTGACGATGTGTGTCGACAGGCCGCGCGAGCGGCGCGTGCCCTACCCTCTGGGCGTGCGACTGTACCGGCGCTCGCGCTCCTTCTGCCTCCACCTGGCGGACGCGTCCTGTAAGGATGAGCAGTTCATCAGCTCGATGGCGGACAACCTGCGATTCAGCGTGCCCGGCAGCTCGCCGGGGAAGTAGGCGGTCATGGAGGCCGCGCGGGATGACGGGGAGAGCTGCCCAGGTCAGACGACTCGGCGGCACACGGCGGAGCGGCCTGCTTGGCCCCGGCCGAGAGACTGGACAATTGACACATTGCTAACGAGTAACGTAAGCTGACGATACGCTCCAGAGATCGCAAAACAAAATAGTTCTTCTGCTTTTTCAAAGAAGTTTGCAAAGAAAAACACTTAATAACGAGCAATAAATTAAAAGCCTTTATTGTGCAAGCCTGTTACTTTTAATGCCACACTGTTACTCGGGCTATGTGTCAAGTGTCCATCGTCTTCCCGGCGGTCGGGTGAGCGCTGAGCACCTCCACCGGTCTCTGAACCCTCTCGGTGATGGAGGAGCTTCTCTCGGCCGCGACTCGAGACTCCACGCAGATCGCTTCTCACCTGAGGGCTTCCGACCAGGCTGTGGACACTGAGACGTTCCACTAGCTGGTCGGGTGAGGTGAAGACCGTTTGTGACACGGTTCTCCTCCCTCTTTGACACGACGCTCCTCCGTCTGATCTGGTGATGGTGAAGGTCCTACGCTCCAACTCGGAGCGCTGCAGCTTATGGTGAAAGTCTCACTTTTCAGCCGGAATCCAGCGTCCGGATTTCACGCCTCCAACGGGAGACGACACCGCTTTTAGCAAAGATGGGATTTTACTTCTGCTTACCACGCTTGGACTTTTTATGCTTTTCGGTGACGGCTTCACATTTCAACGGTGGCGGCGCAAACACTACAAACGCAAAGCCTTTTTGCACTCAAAGTGACATGATGTATTTCATGTTTCGTCGCCTTTTGTTTTCTTCACCTCTTGCTTTGTGATCTCTTTTATGTTTGGGTTTCGGTGGCGACGGTTCTTTTGGTCTCCGTCACGCCTAAAACGGCACCAGAGGCCATCGGCTGTTGCGCTAACCGCTGCAACCCCCTAACCACGGAGGAAGCCAATTTACGACTTTGGCTGGCTTTTTATTGATCTCCTTTTCACAGAATAAGGTTTTTGTAATGCGTTGTAGGCGTTACTAATGCCTTGTCTTTTTCACAAATTCATTTTAAAAAGACGATGAATGGCGGTAGCGCCATAAATTGTTGGTATGCAGGCACCAATTTATCAAATATCTGCTCAATATCTTAAACGTTTTTTTAACGTTAACGTTTTGTTATGCTAGCATCTTTACATAAATTAAGCTTCTGTATATGTTCGTTAAGTGCGTGACAAAAAAAGATTACTTTGGTGTATTCAGATTACTAACCTAGCATTTATTTCATGAGTCATGTATCATATCCGTTCTCCGTACCAACCGTAGTATACGACTTTTAATGACGTCATTTTCATCGGGCGGCAGGTGGCAGCAAAGCAGGCAGTAACGGCTGATCGACATACGTCTGAACACGCTGGAGAGAGAATAGAGCCTACCACCTCGACTGGGTGAAGACGGCCCGCTGACAGCGGTTCCACAGACAGCTCACGACCCCTCCCTCGGGCGACCTGACCTTTCCCAGACCCCCTCGGGTGACCTGACCCGCTCCAGACCCCCTCCTCAGAAAACCTGACCCTCCTAACCCCCCACCCCCACACCAGCGCAGCTATTCCCGACCCTTTTACCCGTCCCACTCTCCCATCAACCAGCCTGCAGTACGCTGGATGGCCCTGATCTCACGCTGATCTCATCTTATATCCCGATCTCATACTGAGCGATTCCCAGCGATAAATTATAGCGATCCACAACAATGCCGTCAACCCATGCCGCTTGTTCTATTGAAATACGACCCATAATTTGACGATCACGAACCACCCTTTCCGATTGCTGCTGATTTACAATCGCGGGATATGATCCTGCCCTCTCCGATCGCTGTATTCTGGGCTCGCCTCCCTGCGGTAGTGGACGGTGCAGCGAGCTGAGACGGTGGACGCAGGCAGTGCGCTCTCTGTACCTTCGCGTCGGTGGTTGTGTTTTGAGGTTCCGGCGGCGTTGCACGCCGTTGCATCGAACTCTGTTTTTCGATCCTCCGCGCCTGCCGATTGCCGAACGCTGGAGCGTCTATGATATATCTAAGTGACTGTTATCGATGTCAGCTACATTCGGCTATAATCAGTACACAATAAACACCATTTTTCAGCAGGCTTTCTGAGGAGTTGTTTTTGTCAATCACTTCCTGCAAGTTGCAACATCCATTCAAGACAATAGAAAAAAATTTAGCTGTGTCCTGCGACTTTTCCGGACAAAAGTCATGTTGAACACTATCAAACATCGTTGAAGAGGTTAAATGATACCGATTAAATGGTTAATGTATCGAAAAATGATACCGTAAACCTAACTTAGATTCATAATTTGGGTCATGCGGGGTCACTAGCAATTTTTCGACAGTAACTTCATGGTAGGGGTATACGAATATGATTGAGTGATAACTGCACCGTGAATGCGCTCAGTTCAACGGTACCTACGGATCAACTGATTTACAAGATGACCATTTCAAGACCTGAGCGGTATTGCATAATGACATAAGATTTACTCCACCGGAGTAGATCGTAACTTTTTTACGAAACGGCCATACTCTACGAAGCACCGTAAAACCTGTTGCATAAAGGACGTGACCTACTTCGTAAATATTTGGAAAATCTAGGTATGACGTCATACATGAATGAAAATAGTGCCGGATCTCAGCACGAAATGCAGAAGAATGGTGACAATAATGAAAGTGATTAAAGTCCCAGTGTACTGAAATGTATGAATCACGTTGTGTGGATAAGTGGTTCAAATCACCTTGAATTGATAGCGACTTTAGAAAACCTTTCGTACTTTTCAATATTCATGCGCCGTCCCACATCAAGCGGCGGTCGGCTTGGCAAACAACATCGATCGCGGCATCTTGGGAGTGTGGGATATTCTAAGATCATAAATAATTTGCCCTCGCTATGGGTTTCAGTCGATATTCTACATAAATTTGCATAGAACTGAGTGCACTGCATCCGTCTAGAACAGCGCCGTAGCTGCTACTGCCACCTTTCGCCAATTAAGTAAGCTGAGATTTGTACACTCGCCGTCCGGTGGTTGCCGGACGGCGGAACTAAACTCAGCCGTCCGGTGGACGGCTGAGGTCATGTTCGAGCAAAAATGAGCAAAAAACATGCAATCTTGAAACGCTCACCAAATGTACAGTTACCAAGTTATTTCAAAGTTATTTATATGGTCTAGTAGACAAAAAGCTGCGCTATAAAACTGTTATCTCGGATTTTCAAAATTTTGGGTTTTGACCCCCAAAAATTAAAAAAAGGAGATTTTTTAGAAAAACTCAAAAAATAAAAAAACGAATTTCGTAAAAACGGAATGCATGATAGTCTCTGCGCTCTTCTATATACATTATACATACCCAATTTCAGATCGATATCTCGTTTTTTGGTCAAGTTATAGCGAAAAAAACCGTTCAAAAATGATGACGTCAACTTTTTGAACTCAATTTCTAGCAATTCTAGACCACGTAGGGCAAAACAAAGACCACCATTGAACTCCCCGTGACGAGCTGCATCGAATCAATACCCATTTTATGCAAAAATATCAACTTTGAAATTTGACCTAATTTGACCTTACCTTGACCTGACTTTGACCTGACCTTCACCAGAACATAATCTAAACTGACCCCAAATGCTGCCTGACCCACATAATCGTATTTGACATACAAAATGGACCATGATACATGCATCACATGATATTTTCTTATTGTGACCCTCAGTGACCTGACCTCTGTGACCTGACCTGGTATCAGTGACCTCAAATAGCAAAATATGTGTTTGAATAACATTTCCCCATCGATAATTTTCAATGAAATGCATTTTACTCGATTTTACAGCGCATTTCTTGAAATGCCAGTAAACAGTCCTCTCCGTGGCCGAGTGGATAAAAGCGCCGAAATTCGACGCTTAGCCGGAAGAGAGAGCCCGGTTCAAGCGTGCGGGCGGCCACATCTAGCTCCTACGTGTAATGGCGTGCGTGTCTGTGGCAGGGGCCGCACAGAAGCCAGGTAACGTGAAAGAGCGGAGGGGACCGTGTCCAGTCGTGAGGGTACGTTAAACGTTCGGACAAAATTCTGCCATACAACTGGAATTGCACGATCGGGTGGTGGGGTCAGGGTCAGCACAACAAGCTATGCTTAGTGCGGGCTCTGATTCCTCAAATCCGCCCATTCAGCCATTCGACCTTTGACCTGACCTGTGACGTTATCGGTTTGACCTAGGTCAATAAAATTGGGTCACAAGGTAGTTCCCTGATAGGTCTATCCAACACCGTTTGCCGCTTGTTGCTAGGTTGCGTGTTCTCGAGATCTTAGGGGGGAGGACGTCACGTGAGATAGAATCGCTGACCTGACGGGATGCAAGGAAGAATCAGCAGCAAGGGGGTGCGGGGAATAGGTAAGCTTGGAGAGTAAGGACATTAGTGGATAGGAGGGAACTTAAGTGGATACTATTTGAATTGTACATTGTGCTGATTGTGATACGATCTCAGCAAAATAGGCACACACATGACACAATCTGAATAAACATAATATGTTGATTTCTAAAGGCGTTGTGGCTCATGCAATATGCAGGCACTCCACACTCCCTCACTTATCCCTCATTGGGGGCTCTCAGACCTGAGGGCCTATTGCCTATCTCTAAGGAGCCCTAGACGGACTCCTTTGGGTCCTTTCAGTTCAGGGCCTCGGCTAACATGTTAACTGGTGGGCCAAATGGCCCACCAGTGACCCGAAATGGCCCACCAGCCTCAAAGATTTGGCCCACCAGTAATTTTCCGAAACATCTAAGTTTTCACATTTTTCACATTTCAAATTGAATTAGCAGATCTTATCGTACAGTTTCAGGCTGTAAAATACACATCGGTGAAACATATTCTTGTGAAAAAACTTCAACCTATTGTTTGCAATATCCTTGGGGTAAAAAGTGGACTATAGTACCCGCAACTTAAAAAAGAATGATCGTCGTTGCCCGCCTAATACCATCACCATTCCCGGTTTCTTGAGACAGCCGTAGCGTAGAATAAGCCTCAGTCACACTTCACCGGATGGCGGATTGGACCAACGAGTGGTTGCAGTCACATAAGCATCTGCCGCAGACCAGTCGGTTACAAGAAAAACTATGAATAAAGAACAGACCAGTTCAGACGGTCGGGGATAAGCCTGCGAGCGATCTCAGACGGCTCGCCGATAGACACGATACAAGCCAGAGTCAAACTAGAGGTAGTGTCGGCGACTTCCAGCCGATTGAAGTCTGCAAGCGATAATATACGTCTTCACGACCGGTATGATGCTTGCAGTCACACATCTGACCAGTCGGATGAATTTCGAACCGTTCACAGTCAGCGTTCCAAAAATTTCTCATTTGGGCTGAAGATGATACTCAAGAATAAGAATGGATAATTTTCCACTCTCACATTTTGGGTTGCTAGAATTTTCCACTCAGACACCCAAGGGAAATCTGAAGCTTGGGACACTGTTCACCAGAAGTGTACATAACTTTTTTATAGAAAATATTAGGGTTGCGCAGTGCGCTTGGGCTAATTGAGTAAATTATTTTCCATGCGACACCAATAGGCCTAATGATCATTTTCAGAGATGTTGGGGTTGCTGCTACAACCCCCCGGGGGTTCCTGCCACAACCCACTTTATATAGGTATAAAGTTGCATTCGTGCTGTTCACAATTCCTCCACAATTCCTCCCGATCCACTCGACAACGCCCGATCCCGTCCGACCGCTTTCGATTCTCCGACTCTTCGACTCTTCGACTAGTCGGCGTGCGATCCACTCAGGGCTCGATGATTTTAACATCCGATCGGCCGTAAGTTATATCCTCCAAAGTTTTATAATCTGCGTCAATATTTTGTGTATACTTGTGCGATTTTATGTGCACCCCGCTGGAGTATCACCACTGAGAGGGTTGTGGGTCCCTACTCTCTCCTCTCTCTGAAGAGTCGGGTGGGGGGGGGGGTCGAGCCCCGTTTTTTTTTTTACATTTTTTGAATGCCATCCTGACGTTTTTTTGCAGGATAAAGTGGCCGAAATCTGGGGAGAAATCGAAAATTGGGGGGGGAGGGCTATGGCTACGAAGGTCAGTCCATGTCGCTGCCCAAGTGGCCCACCAGTCAAAATTCCTTAGCCGAGGCCCTGTAATTCAGTTCACTATAGCATAAGAGGTCTCCACGCGCGAGTCCTATACATCTGAGGGCGTAGTGCGTACCCTGACGTCTGAGGTTCCCAACTGCAGCTCCAATGGTTTCTTACACTGGCGGTTAGTCCAGGGGAAAGGGGGCATTTGAGGCAATGCCCCCCCCCCCCCCCAGGCATAAAGTGGCCCATTTGTCCCCCAAACGATAATGAAATATAATTCAATCAGTGTGTGGCCCAGGAGCCGAGTTAGACAGGGGCTGTGTTACCACCTCCCGGCCCGCAAAAGTTGCGCCAAGCACCGACCCGGAGCGGGTTAACTGGTCGACAAAAGCAATGTGAAGTGTTTGCAAAGTAATATAAAGGTATGGATCACCATATCTATTTTTATTTCTAGTTAAGAGAAAATATTCATTGTGTCAGGGCTGTGACGAAAAATAAATGGCCTAAATCCGATGAGAAAACAAGATTCGGGGGTACCCTACAGGTTTGGTCCCTGCATGAGTACCCCCCCCCCCCCCCCCCTCCGCCCCCCCCCCCGAAAACGCAAGTCTGGATAAGCCAGTGCATGGTACACGATGCAGCCAAGAAAAAAAGGACTTAGGCATAGATGAGAAACGAACCATTAATGTACATTGCAATTTTTACATGGGTACCTACTACCTAATTCACAAACCGAAGTTTCGTTTCTCATTACAATCTTAAAAGGTAAGATCGCCTATGGGTTCATTCCTCAACTTCAGAACGCTGTTGCAATTTTTTAGGAACGAACTGTGCCAACCAGTGAACCAATAGGTGATAAAAGAATTGTAGTTCCCATACCTCCCCCATCCCCCTAAAAAAAGTTGTGAGTTGATCCAATGCACTGCAGCCTGCAAGTGTAACTGTAGACCCAAACACTCATACACGGCAATCGGCTAGAGGTGGCGTCTATTGCTTCATATTATAGATGTCGCTGCATATTTTAGCGATGCACCAAGGCTACCGAAAGGTCTAAGAACCTCAGCATTGGTGGTCATCGATGTCTAGGAGACACCACAGAGCACAAACCCAGATATTACCTACAAACATCTAAGAGTTGATTTCTTCTTGGTCTGCGCGCCCATTAGGTACCATTTGCACTTTGCAGGCCTATAGGTACTTATTGAAATGGAGAATGGGAAGAGCATAGTCAGTCCAGAGTCCTGAAACTAATAAAATGCAGTCTGATCTTGCTAATCTAACCATACCTGACCCAGAAATTTTCATTATTTTTCGCTAGACCGTGCTCTTTTTATCCTCCTGGATATCAGTACCTATACACTCGGGACAAGGAGCATCGGTCGCAAAAAAATGCGGTCGCTGCTCTTTCCATCTCTTCAGACTTCAGTGTATGTATGTATCTACCACACCTATCGTTTGATTGAATAAAATGAAAGGTTAAGCCCAGTTAAGCAGCTAGGCCGTCAATATTCAGGCTAGGCTCGGAGAATGCTAACAGTAGACAAGTGATGTAGGCTATAGGCTATGGTTATAGCATAGATAAGTCATAAAATTACTATTATCAGTTATCTCACGGTATAAAGAGAATTAGTTATCTCATCCATAATAACAGGCAAGGTAACAGGCTAGTACACACTATATATGGCCTTGGGCTACACCAGCACCAAATGCATTGGACATAAAAGCTGCAGCTCTAATATCAAATAATGGAAGCTGAGGAAACTGACCAGTCACAAAAGCACATTCTGAAAAGCATTGCTCAAGGATTTTATGAAAGGAAATTAAACAACAATAGTAAAAAACACACTTAGATGTACACAAAAACCTCAATTATTTGAATCCGTTTATTTCAGCAGCGGGGTCGGTGAATATCGATAGAAAATCAAATAACAAATCTTGAATATCCGATCATTTTTCATTTATGTTTAAAGTTATAATAATTTTTATAGGCTATCCTTTTTAGACTCGTGTAATTTAAATGTAAAAGTCAAACAAAAGCAGTTTTTTCGAAATGTAACAGCCTGACATTTACAGCATCAAACAAAAACCAGAATGTGAGCAGTCAAAGTTTTTTTTAAAAGATTCCCATCTCTATCTGTTTGTCATTTTTCTCCATATTACTTTCTATCAACAGACATTATTCAACAGATTTGACCTGAATAAAGAGCAATCGCACTTATAGTAGCTATGACTGTTGTTTCGTAATTGCTAGATGACTCAGTCGATAGTATGCGCATGCGCGAACAGTCGAATTGTCACGTGATTCACTGACGACGAGCGGGAAATTCGCAGTCGACTCTCAGGTGTTCGCGCGTGTGGTTGCGTGGTCTTTGCTCTCAAAGAAACTAACAAAATGGCTGATACCACTGAGGCTAAGTGAGTACAAAAATCGAAAACCGTATGCCTTGTAGCGGATATGAATGAGTGTTTTGAGTGGATAGTGTCAGACTCGACGAGATTATCACACTGTTTCTTCGCCTCCAGGACCGTCGAGGAGACCACCAAGGTCGCGGAAGAGACCAAGCCCGAGGAGACTCCCAAGGAGGCAGAAGTGGAAGAGAAGAAGGAGGAGACCAAGGAGGGAGAGGAGGAGAAGACCGAGGAAGCTGAGAAAGTGGAGAACGGTGATGCTGTCACCGAGTCCAATGGAAAGACCGAGGAGCAGGGAGGTAGGTAAAATGTCTTGTGCCATTGCGCTTCCTGTTTTCGCTAGGTGGACTAGGAATTGCAATCTCAGGAGTTTGCTTGCCATTGTGCAATTTGGTGCCGAGTTTTCGTGTCTATGCTAAGGGTACAATTATTTGAGAAGTGGTTTCGTGAAGGTGCAAGGTGGGCTGGATTTCACATTGCTTGTGTGATATTTTCTTGACTAAAGGAAATGTAACAGCATTTGATCTTTCCAGCATTGTTTAGTAGCTAGGCTGCAGTAGTTTGCAATTTGCATGAGTTCTAAATGCTTTGTTTTATTCTGCAGAGAAAAGGAAGTCAACTGGTGGAGATGGGGACACTAAGAAGGAAGACAGCCCAGTCAAAAAGCCCAAGCTTGATGAGGTGGCAACAGAAGAAAGTGAGAAGGTGGCAGAGGCGGCTGCCTAAGTTTTTTGTATCATAGGGAACATGTGTGCGATTTATTCTGGAAGGCCATTGGAAGCACCAGGAAGCTAGATGTGTAAGCACCCAATTAGAGCTGTGCAATCTGGGTGAACCGAGCTAAGTACCATCCATGATGAGTATTTATTTTGTACATTGTCATTGTTCCAGTTGTATGTTCATCCTACATGTCTTGTCATCCTGGTCCATCTGCATCTAACACACAGCTTTCATGTGGAGACTGTCATCAAGCATTCCTAACAATGAATAAAACTTGTTAAAATTTGTCCAAGTCTTGTTTGAAGGGGCGCTGGGGTGACCCATATCTGAAGTGTTCAATGTTTTCTAATCTATAGGTACTTGATTACATGGTTGAGAACCATAGGTGGTGGAATGGGGGGGGGGGGGGGCGCACCGTTTCTCGCTTTGATTTTGGCATTTTAACGTCAGCGCTTTGGACGTTGCATAGAAAGAATTAAGCCAAAAGTCGGCAGTGCTCCATCCCCCCTTTATCATTGTTATTGGAAGGTGTTACGCCGTCACTGTTTGAAACTAGGAATGAGTTAAATTGAAATACGGACATCAGCGTGCGGCACTGGGGTAAAGATACCTACTCTTTAGAAGTCGGCGTTGAAGGTACCAGGCAATTGACTGCGCTCAGCTACGGGGATTTATTCAGCGGCTCAGCCGCTACAGCTAGGGACGAGAGCACAATCTTCCCATCTGCGGGGACGTGCAATAGCTATGTCGCGGAGAATAGCATCTGGGCGAAGGGAAACCTGAACGATAATCCAAACGACGGGAGGGGCAAATATTTTAACCCTCGCCGGCCGAGGGGGGGGGGCGGGTGCCGCCCCCCCCCATAGGGTTTTTTCGCGATAGCTCCCGAACACGCTGGCGATAGAGAGCTGAAACTTGGCATACCTGACCTTTGATCCAAGCCGCATCTTTTGACACCAACCGCATTTTTGGGTCAGGTCAGGTCACTGACCTATGACGTCATAAGTGAACCTCTGCACGGTCTTCAGATGTCGCAACTTTGCAACGCCCTCACTGCCAGAGGAGATGTCACAGGGAAATGAAACTTGCAGGATCTAGTATCCATTATGAGTCCCACAACTTGTATATCTCGGATTTTTCCTAAAGGTCATATGAGGTCAGGTCATTTTCGTGACCTCACCATTATAAGTCAATGGGGAAAAATGAAAACTGCTATTCTGGCGCCGGGAACGATCTCCAACTATCTCAAGCACACAGAATCGTGGTTTGATGCACTCCTTGCAAGGTTAGATGCGTCACTTTTGCAATGTTGACCTTGCGTGACGTCATTTATGACGTCATCAAGGTCATATTAGTTTTTCGTCAATAACTCTTGATCAAATTGAGCTAGCGAGTCGAGAAAGCCACCAATGGACTCAGGAAGACCTGCCGAATCGAATGATATGCGACATGACCCCTTTCGACCAACTTCGTGACCTGGGGGTGCTGACCTGACCTTGACCTGAGGTCAACACCCCAAGTTGACCTGACCCGGACAAAAAGTATACCATTCGACGCGCCTGAGCGAGGCGAACACGATGCTGCCAAAATAGCGGCTCTGCGGCCGTTTTTTGCGAAGTTATTCACCAAAAACTGAACCGTACCCTGGGGCACTTGACCTGACCTCAGAGGTCACCGGTTGACCTAGGACCTTAAAATCGGGTACCAATCTCTGCGTCTCGTAACGGCGCACACGCTCGTTTTTTCCGCGACGCGCTAGCTCCACCAGGGGCGAAACGGCGAGGGGGTCGTACCCGCCCGGCCGCCCCCCCCCCCCCCTCGGCCGGCGCGTATGTAGAAAACCAATAGGTCCGGCGAGGGTTAAATCGTCGCAGTAGTTATGGAATTCAATAAACGACAAGTATTAGCTCACGCCGCGCGATATCAAATCTTGACCTTGAATCGTGCCCTGGTGGGGTCTCGTTTATATCGCGACCTGGTAGGGGGGGGCTATTTTTTGCCCCCCCCCCCCCCTCGGTATCTCCGAAACTACTAAACGTATCCTCAAAATTCAAACGGTGTTCGAAATTTCTAAGACCGTTTGACTTAATTGAAGGTGTTCCGCCGCTACTGGCGGCAGGTCTAGAATTGCTAAAAATTGAGTTTGAAAATTTGACATCAGTTTTAAACAGTAGTTTCGCTTTGAAAATTTTATCGGCGCTTCGCGCCGCCGATTCATACTGGATACACTAGTACCTAACTTTTTGACCCGCGCCGGACCGGTGCACAGTGTGGCCAAACACCAGTTTAGCGCGAATTAAACCCCAGCGCTGCTCGGATCCGTTGAAAATGGTTCCCTGGTTTCAAAATTGACACTTAAAGGGACCCTCCCACCTTCAAAAAAGTTTATGAATTGGCATGAAAGTGATGTCGCTCGGTTCAGAAAGAGCGAAAACGAATATCTACCAAATTTCACCGAAATATATTCACCAGTTTTCAAGATATTAGTCTTTTACTTTTGTTTACTTTTTTGGGATCTCCGCTGTTTCTAGCGACTTTATTTTAGAAGTGCGGCGTTTGCGGCAGATGTTGCGCGCAAATAGCATATACCACCGCATGCTACAAAACGTTTTAGTCAAACATTTAAAAATCGTTAGATAATTGCGCTGACGTCACACATTCAGAGGGGTATTCCTAAGCATTAGCCCCTCTGAATCAAAATGCTGCAATTTTAAAAATTCAATATTTCCGATTTAAGGCATTTCTCGATGTTGTGAGTGCCGAAACCGGTAATTGTGAGCCAGGGACCCCATTTTGGCTATCTCAACTCAAATCTAATGTTAAGGTGGGAGGGTCCCTTTAAACGTATGTGAGACCTTTTACGATGCATTATAAATGCTTGCTGACATATAATGGCAAAGTTCCGCCTCTAAAAGTAAGGAGAACTAGCTTACGACGGGTGATGTGCTTACCAGGCCAGGCAGGGGCGGCGCCACGAAATTTTGCTAGGGGTGGCAAGCCGAAGTAGGGGGCCTCTTCATAAGAGGGCCTCCTCTTCGCCTCTGGGGCCTCCTCAAAAGTGAAATTGTGGTCGTTTGTCAAAAACAGTACCTATATCTATTATCTGCAGTTTAGAACGTCTTCGCTTTACCAATACCAATGCCGTTTATTCGGGCAACTCCACGCAGAAGTTGGTTTTTTCTTGCCTAGAGTCAATGGAAAACAAATGATACAATGATGGGACTGCTTCACACGTTACAGACGCGGTACGAACTAACCTTGATAAAAACGATAAAAATAAACAAGAATATGATAAAAGTGACCATGGCAGTGCATTACACCTTTTTGCATTTGAATTCAACCATTCGCCATAACTGTTTGGGGAGCCATTTCGACAATCGACATTGAGCACAACTATTCCGGCATTGTGTGTCTCATTTTAGCCATTCAGCAAAACAGATTGAACACTGAAATGAGCGATGTGCAAAACAGTTTGACACTTCCCCACACTTCGGCATTGAGTGAGCCAGCTTGGCATATGACGAATATTTTCGACAATTGACGATTTGTTTTCCACAATGTTGAGCCATTCACTCAACGCCGAATTGTAGAGGAGGACCGCCGAATAGTTTTGCTCAATGGTGATTCTTTGTGACCAACCGCCCATTTGTAGCGCCACCTATATGGCGAATGTGTACAAATGTTTTGTCCAATGGTCAAAAGCTAACGCAAAAAGGTGTACTACTGCGTATTTATCACTTGCCTGATAGCATAATAAAAATGACCGATTGACATCGTACGCATTTCAGCTGGCAGTTGGTTGTATTATAGCATCGGGCCACAGTACAGAAATCGGCGCCTCCCAGTCTCCGTCCTGACAGGTGGCAATCACAGGTCGTCACCCTGGCGAGTGCTCCCAACTCGTGTCTCACGGTTTGTTTGGATAAAGGATGAAAGTGACACTGGTGTATGGTATTTGATAATTTTGTGGAGTAATGCGGGCGTATAATATTTGATTAGATCCTCTGCATCCAGCCATCCCAGCGCCCTCCGAACGTCTGCAGAATGGCTGAACTTCCTTCTATCTGAGACGACACGCGCGGCAAAGTTGATCAATGATCACCTTTTAAATCTTAGCAGCATTCTTCCCGATGCCGCTGCCGTACATAGGGAGGCAAAAGCGGACGCTTGAGAGCACCAGGGCGGTTGCGATGGCGGGCAAGATCTCGGCCGGAAGGTAATGACTATGTGCGACAGGCCAATGAGGATCCCGAAGCATTTGACGGTCACGTAGCTCAGTTGGTAGAGCATTGGACTCCGCGTGGTGAGAGTTTGTTTGTTAGTTTTGTTGGGTTAGACCCTTTCGGTCTGACGAGACCATTTCAGAGCCGGAAAGATGATAGGAATTAGGGGGAGACATTGGTCTGGGCAGACACCCTAGTGAGTCACCGGGGCTGAGCCCGTCCCGAAAGACAGGCCGACCAGCCCCAAGGTACTCATTGCACCAGGCTACGGAATGATAGGGAGCAGCGGTGCCGCTCCAAGGGAGCAGCCCGCATGAGATAAAGTTGCCTATGTCCAGCCCGGAGGGGGTTGCGGCGTGGAGGATTTCAGCATCCTGAGGATAGAAGCACGGAACGGTGTGTGGTGAGAGCACGCGTTCCCGGTTATAACAGCCCGGGTTCGACGGGCGCTTGACATTTATGGGCCTCCTACAGGTGTGGTTTCGGTTGGTGGCAGGCCGTAGCCAGGCGAAGTCAGTGAGGGAACCGGCCGTGCGCAGCTATGTGCGCACGTTAAACTTTGGACTCTAAATTCTGCCATAGAACTGGAATTGCGCGATCGGAGGGACGAGGGCAGGGTCACCGCAGCAAGCTTCGCCTAGCGGCGGCTCTGTCCTTGTGAATCCTTCCTATCAAAAGGTTCGGACTAAATTTATATATAAAAAATGCGCGTAATTTCTTGTACATGCATAGGCGTCCCAGGAAAGGTGGTGATCAAAGATCATCCCCATATTTTTTTTTTAAATAAATTTAGTCCGAACCTTTTTGATAGGAAGCATTCACAAGGACAAGAGCCACTGCTAAGCGAAGCTTGTTGCGGTGACCCTGCCCTCTACCCTCCGATCGCGCAATTCCAGTTCTATGGCAGAATTTAGAGTCCAAAATTTAACTTGCGCACATAGCCGCGCACGGCCGGTCCCCTCACTGACTTCGCCTGGCTACGGGCTGCCACCAACCGCAACCATACCCGTCAGGATGCCCATAAATGTCAAGCGCCCGTCGCGCTTCGAACCCGGACTGTTATAACCAGGAACGCGTGCTCTCACCACGCGGAGTCCAACGCTCTACATACCAACCAAGGCTATATAAACCAGGTAGAACGCTCCCGACGAAAAAGTGGTGACAAGCGATAATTAGTAGCCGCGACCCTCTTTTGTTCAAAACTATATCCGCAAGCAGCATTTACAGGCTAGCGGAAATCGACCAATCGGCGTTCGGCAATACTCAACGCTGATTGGCCCGATGCTCGTGACGAAATTGCGGGGGACTGCAGCTATTCCCCTATGGCGTTTAATAGACTTACGGCTTTTGAAGGGGATTTGTACCAGTTTTTGTTGGGTTTGAGGCCATTTTTGAGCTTGGATATTCTTTCTGTGACTTTTGACTGTGTAATAACGACATTTAATCATAACATTTCTATATACTACCGGTGTCACATCGACCAAAAAGACCGTAAGTACATGGGATAGACGGACCACTGCTGATGGGGCCACACATGCCGGCGTGTGGTCATCGGAGGCCCATGAGGGCTCGACATAGGCCCTTCATGGGTCGGTATAGGCCCGGTGGGTCCAGTGCAAGCCTATCAGGGGCCGGTGCTGACCCAACAGGGCCCAGTGACATATAATGTAAGGCCGTCTAGGGACGTTGAGGGCTCATGGGGGCCATATAGGACCAATAGGGACCACATAAGCCAATCAGGGGCCATTTAGGCCAATAAAGGCACTTCAAGGGACTTGAAAAGGTCATTCAAGAGCTGTGGTGGGCCCATGAGAGGACGGCACTGGTCCAGCAGGTGCAGTCAGGGGATGTTGTACGGGTTTCTCAGTGGCCCATTTGGGCATATCAGTGACCAATTTAGACCCAGCAGTGGGCTTTGTAGACCTATCAGGGGCTGGTGATGGTTCATCAGGGGCCAGCGTTAGTCCATCGGGGCACGGCATATGCCCATCAGAGGTAATTGCGAGCCCACGCTGAACAATGCTGGCCCTTCAACGGCCCCATGGATCTACATTGACCCATGGGCCATGATGTGTCATGTATGCCCCTATGACAGGCCTACTCAGACCCCTGATGGACGTTCCCGGCCTCTGATGACCCTATGCTGAATGCTGATGGGGCTCTAAGAGTCTCCAATAACCCTTCGTCACCCCATTATTACCATACGCTGGCATTAGGGACCCCACATCAGCCGCAGGGCAGTCCGTACCATGACAGCATGTCTTTTCGGCCGATATTTCATCGGTAATATTTATCAAAATCATGATTTTATGGTGCCATTATATAGGTAACAGTCATAAGAAATATATTTCAACTCGAAAACAGCTCGAAACAGCATATAATTTTAAAGAAACCCCTCCGAAATCCAAAAGCCTATTCGGGTCCATAGAGAATAACTGCGGTCCCCCGCAATTTCGTCACGAGCGTCGGACCAATCAGCGTCGAGTACCGCCGAGCGCTGATTGGTGAATTTTCCGCTAGCGTGTAAGTACTGCTCACGGAACAAGAGTTCGTCGACAATCCTCCACAAACGTCTGTCACCATTTTTCATAATGCTTAACAGCCGGAGCGTACCCCCCTGATACCAACTGAGCTACGGGACCGGCAAATATAGTATATTTTTTATTAGAAGTAATATTTTTGATTACCCGTATTAATTATAACCCGTACCCGTTGGTTACAACCCGTATTAGAAGCAAATATTCTTGCTTATAATACGGGTTATGTTGTACGCTCGGGGAATTTCACGCCGAGAGGTGTAACCTTCCGCAATTTTTGTCTATATGTACTGCCAAGAACAATCAGGTGAGTTTTGTCGAATTTGCGCGGAACCAAAGGTCGAGAGAAAAGAGTGCCTGCTCCATGCGCTCAGTCAGATCTGACAGGGTTGTCTTGTTGCCGCAAACCATGACCTGGGTGTCGTCCGGCACCAACGGTCGCACACGAACAAGCTGAGGTCGTTTGAAAAGATAGTGTATAAGAGGGGACCTAGTGCCGAACTTTGGAAAACGCCCATGTTATTCGGAAACGCGGTTGAAATTTGCCTGTTACCAGAGACGTCAGTGAAGCTGACGCTCTGTGTGTGGTTCTGCAGAATGAAGGGATGCGGTTGCTGAAGCGCCAGGTACCCCAGATTAATGATGCAAACACCCACGTGCCACTACGCTACACCTATGAATAGGACAATACAGGCAATACATATAGTATAAGCCCCCCCCTCCACATTTTTTTATCTGAACTCTCATATTATGCCGTTGCAATGAATGAAAACGGCCTGGAAAATTCGGAGCACACTCCCTTCCTTCCGCTCAACAACTTTTTAACCATACATTGGGCGGTATATGGAAAAATAGGGGTTGAAAATTGCGGAGTGCACCCCGTCCCCTCAACAACTTTTTGCCTACAGAAAGCGGCCTTGTACCAACGTTTAGCCCCCCCCCCCTAAAAAAACGGAGTTCCGGATCCGCCAGTGGCACAGGGGCGTCCTTTATGGCCGCACAGTTGCCCCCTATTTGGGCATAGACGGACAAAGAGACCTCCTGAGCGGGCACAGGGGCCTTCTGTGCGGGCAGAGGGGCCTCCTGTGTGAGCGCAGGGGCCTTCTGTGTGGGCACAGGGGCCTCCTTTGCGCGCACAGGGGTCTCCTGTGGGCAAAGGGGCCTACTATTTGGGCAAAGGTGCCTCCTATTTGGGCAGAGGGGTCTCCTGTGGGCAAGGGGCCTCCTATTTGGGCGGAGGGGCCTCCTGTGTGGGCACAGGGGCCTCCTGAGCGGGCACAGAGGCCTCCTGTGCGGGCACAGGGGCCTCCTGTGTGGGCATAGGGGCCTCCTGAGCGGGCACAGGGGCCTCCTTACGGGCACAGGGGCCTCCTTACGGGCACAGGGGCCTCCTGTGTGGGCACAGGGGCTTTCTGTGCGGTCGTAGGGAAAGGGGTCTCCTGTGGGCAAGGGGCCTCCTATTTGGGCGGAGTCCCTGTGCGGGCACAGGGACCTCCTGAGCGGGCACAGGGGCCTCCTGTATGGACACAGGGGTATCCTGTGGGCAAAGGGGCCTCCTACTGGGGCAGAGGCGTCTCCTGTGCGAGCACAGGGGTCTCCTTTTAGGCACAGGGGCCTCCTGTGCGGGCACAGGGACCTCCTGAGCGGGCACAGGGGCCTTCTGTACGGGCATAGGGTCCTCCTGTGCGGGCAGAGGGGCCTCCTGTCCGGGCACAGGGGCCTCCTGTGTGGGCACAGGGAGTTCCTATGCGGGTACAGGGACTTCCTATGCGAGCACAGTGGTCTCCTATGGGCAAAGGGGCCTTCTATTTGGGCAGAGGGGCCTCCTGTGCGGGCCCAGGGCCCTCTGTGAGGGCGCGGGCACAGGGGCCTCCTATGCTGGCACAGGGCCTCCTGTGTAACGATAAATACCTCTTAGAAAACTTCCCACGTGTAAAAGGGCCTCCTGTATGTTGTGTAGGCTTAGAGGTCATAGGGGCCTCGAACGCAGTATGCGAGTCTTTTACATCGGTGACGTTTCAAATTTGTCCCATATTTCAGGGGTGGCAATGCCACCCCTGCCTCGCGGCAGGGGTGGCAGGCTGCCACCCCTGCCCCTATGGTGGCGCCGCCACTGAGGCCAGGGCTGTGAAGTCGATGGAGTTACTCCGACTCCGACTACGGCTAAAGACAGACATTTTCAGAGGTCTTCATTCCCCGCCAAAAGGGCTCCAGACGGCATTAGGTATGTACATACTCCCAAAGGGGGCATGTCCATAGGTGGAGATCCGGGGGGGTCAGGACCCCCCCCCTGAAAACGAATTACTGCTATCAGCTATGTAAGTCAATGGTACTGCATCCAGCCCGCCTCCATCTGCCCGGCCTGGACCCCCCCCTGAAATTTTGACAGATCTCCACCCCTGGGCATGTCCCATCATTTGCCGATCCCTTGTACGCACTGGCCTCTACACTGCTGTGCAAGCGCAATAAAAGTTGTTTAGGCCATTTTCTAGAAAAAAACCGATTTTTATCTTTTTCGGGCGCTGTGCCCCGCCAATTCCCCTGGATTCGCTAGTGGTAGGTACCAACTACCAGCTTGTCTCTGAAATACCTACATTCAAAATAAAATAAGCGCAAAAATATGGTTGGGGAGCGAAAACCGCTGCAGTTCATTGACCTCGAGAGGACAAGCTTCCTCGCGCATGCGCATATTGAGGCTCGACAGTATCGTCAAGACTCGCGCAGCGTCCGTCGCGCGCCCAGTGACGTCATGTCATGTGACCTCTGACTCGGCGAAGCGCACTGACGAATGTAAACAAAGGAGAGAGGCGGACAGCCGAGAGGGGAGGGCGCCGATTCTCTGTATTCTTGTGATTGTGGGGCCGGAGCTAGGGCTATCCTTAACTTCTGTGGATTTGTTGTGAGTGAATCGAGCGGTCTAATCGTTAATTTCAGAATGAGAGCCATGTTGGCCCTGCAAGTCTGTTTATGCCTGGGAGTTATTCAGAGCATCAATGGATTCACAAGGTTTGTATTTCACAATTGTCACCAATTATCTCTTTCAAACTGTCCCCAAAAGATGGAATATATTTCAGCCTAGGTTGCATTCATGATTCATGTCATTAAAGTGCTCTTAACTATACTCAATTGGATGGGAAGAGGTCGTAAGCTGGAAGCGCAATTGCAATGCCTTTCATTTTCCTGTGATACTGCACATTTTATTTAATTATGCTTTTATTTGTTTGACGCCATTTATATTAAAAACAATCCACCTTGCCTTTGTACATGTCAGGCATAAAAGAGCTCAGGTTGCAATGTTGCATATTTGTTATGTTCATGAGTATTTTTGTAGGTATTTATTGGTAAATGCAAATTTGTTGAATTATGACACTACACTTAACATTCAGAACTCTGTACATGCTTTTGACATTATTGCGAGTGTTGGCAGCTTGGGGTGATATTGCTGGTGTCATTTAAAAAAAATCTTTCACATTTTTTTTTTGCTTAGGAAATGCACCAATGACAAGAAGTAGTCTATTTGTAGGCAACGATGTTGTTCATGGCCTGGAGCTGCTGTATATTGATAATATTCAGCATAGAATCAGTCATTGAAAGTGATTATGAAGAGGCACTCAACATCACTTTCAATCTGAAGTCTCAGTTTTCAGTGTTTTGAAAGAATATATGAGGAAAAATTATTTGTGAATCAATGTCTCTTTGTAACAATCATGTTTAAAAAGATTGATATTCAAGAAATTCCAGGGCTTTAGAATATGTCAATGAACAAAGCTAAGAAATTAATATGCGGAGTTTTAAGCTTGGTTTAGTGGTAACAAAAGTGGTGAATTCATTGAAGGCTCAAAGCTGTCACTCATAATCATATGCTGTTATTGTTTGAACTTGGATTACATTGTCCTGTAATGGGTTTTATTTGATGCATTCAAAGATAAGAGGAATTTTTCAGGCTCATCACTGGCTAGTAAGCAACAGGCATAACCACTCTGACTTTCTGATGCACACCTGTAACTGGTTTGTTACTTGTGTAACATTTATGTGATAGGGTACCTCTTCATCGCTTCACCTCGGCTCGCCGCTCCCTTCAAGAGGTGGGGACCTCTGTGGAAGTGATCCGCCGCCGCTGGGCGACCGCTGGACCGCACCCGGAGCCACTCTCCAATTACCTGGATGTAAGTACTTCCATTACAGATGCCATGCCTACTATTCCCTCCGATAAATTCTCTTACAGTCGTATGTTGATGAACTGGTGTGGCTAGCTCTACATAAGTGTTTGCACTTCCAAGCGGCATCACTCGGTCAAATTTGATTTGCAGGCTCAGTACTACGGACCGATCAGCATCGGCACGCCGCCGCAGAAGTTCCGCGTTGTCTTTGACACGGGCTCCTCCAACCTCTGGGTGCCGTCCAAGAAGTGCCACCTCACCAATATTGCGTGCTGTAAGTACCTGTTCGTTCCCTATTGGATCCATACTGAAATAGTGGAGTCGGAGTGTGACTTGATGAGTCGTGGCTCGGCTTCGACGCTTCGTATTGAGGGAACTCTGGCCTTGGGGTGGGGTGGGGTGCGAGTTGGATAATGTTTGGCTAATCTATCGGTTTCAGTTGTACTGTGTTTTTCGAAAAACCATACCTGCTTTCCGGACACTGGGGATACGTGTCTCACGGGAGGGGCCAGGCTCGGTATCGACGAAGAAGCCTGACAAGCGACAACTGCATCTGAGGATGGCCTCCCGGACGTTGGACCTCCATGATTGAAAAAAAAAACTACGAACTGCGCAGTGGTCACTGTTGCGGGGCGGGCGGGGTGTGTCCTTGTTTGCCCGCGATCCGTATTGGTCTGACCCCTGGGGGGCACGTTTTATGCCGGAAAAAGCTCCGTGTCGACAGCGCCAGCGGACGTGCGAGATCCTCAGTTGTGCTGATTAGCGCACTGTTTTTGCCCCCGTTTTTTTGGTGTCGGTGACCCGATTTCGAGGTCACGTGACTGGCAGACTGACGCCGGGCGTTGCTTTTGTCGGCAGTGCTCCACAACAAGTATGACAGCTCTAAGTCGAGCACATACAAGAAGAATGACACCAAGTTTGCCATCCAGTATGGCAGCGGCAGCCTCTCCGGCTTCCTCTCCGAAGATACCGTCTTTGTAAGGAGAATCAACAGTCTTTGAGCAATGAATGCAGCAATGAATGTATCAATTATCAACTACGGGTTATAGCTTCGCTAGGCTTTCAAAGGGGTAACATCAAGGGCTGAATGCTGATGCATTATTTGAGTCGTAGCTTACTCACACGTTTCGGATGGGTTAGGCTGGATATGTGGATGCTCTAACATAACGCATCAAAATTCAAGTTCAGCTTCCCGGCATCATGCCGTGTCCCGAACGGCGTCAAATGCGATGAGTGAGATTATAATTAAATCGTCAACTTTGTTTAGAACACTGGAGATGTCCGACAATTTTTACCGTTATTTTTGGAACTCTTGTGATCATTTGCTGATGTGTTCAGTGCACTTTCTTGCACGCTTTTTCCGCCAGTCACTATACGGGCGCTATTGTCTACGCAGGTCGGTGACGTGCAGGTCAAGGGCCAGACTTTCGCTGAGGCGCTGAGCGAGCCCGGCCTCGCCTTCGTAGCGGCCAAATTTGACGGCATTCTGGGCATGGCCTTCCCGCAAATCTCCGTCGACGGCGTGGTGCCCGTTTTCAACAACATGGTCACTCAACAGGCGGTCGGCGACGCCGTCTTCTCCTTCTACCTCAACAGGTGAGTCTGCGAAACTGACTGATGAATGGGGAACTGATGTTTGGTGCAGATATTCAGTTTTATTTGTAACGACTTCATATTTTGCTCGGTCGCACAACATGCATCATTTATATCGTTTGATACATTCTGTACCGTTGTTTTTATGTATAATTTGTTCTGTTAACGAGATTCGGTTGCTTTTATTCAGATTTTATTTCGTGATAAATATTCTCACATTACATCTGCTCTTTCTCACTTTCCTTGAAATTTCGAGCTATATTTTCCAAAGAAAAAGTGTAATTGTCGAAAAATGTCTGATGAGAAGCTAGCTCTCGTACCGAACATTCGACGCTGCCGCCGCTGTTTTTTGTCTAATGGATCACTGCATAGTGCATACTGAGTGCATAGGTCAGAGATCAGAGTCAATCCGTCCCGGATCTTTTCTGTCACAGCAAAAACTGGGGTCAGCACTCAGCAGCTGAATGTCATGACGCTGTGTTGCTATGGCTGGCCGCATCGACGCGTCGTCTGTGAAGGAATGCATATCTATGTTTACCAAACCACCGACATTTACATAGAGACTGCAAGCAAACCACGTCTTGCAGTTCTTTTAATGGCTGGTGATTTGAGACTAAGCTAACAAACTAATGTGAATTATGTTTCTGAGAAAATTTATCTTGACAAAAACGACAAGACGATGAAGATGATCAGCAAGACGATGTTGTTGTCCTAAGGATGAGAAGGACACTGAAGATTTCAGCATGTGCCTCAGACCTCCTAACCGAACTTGTCGCTCGTGTCCTCAGGGACCCGCACGCGGCCGAGGGAGGTGAGCTGATCCTGGGTGGCTCTGACCCGGCCAAGTACTCTGGTGACTTCACCTACATCGGCGTCGACAAGCCCGGCTACTGGCAGTTCAAGATGGATGGGTAAGTACTGACAAAGGATGCACGAACGGCATCCCTAGCCGTGATGTTACTCTGACGTGATCCGATTATGTGTGTAACTATCTCGGTGATCGTTACCTCGGGATCGTGTACGATATCTCAAGCACCAACCATGAACGGCACATCTCGTGGCGATGCTATGCTATGACCTACGGAATCCGGGAGTTACTTGGATCGTTCGTAACCGAGTTTTGAGGCCAACGGGTGATGGGTAAGCCGTCGTGAGCTGTCAGCAGTTTGGACTTTACGATTGTGACAGCATGTGTCTGAAGCATAGTTATAAACTACGTGCTGCCGCAAAATCGATCAACGACGATGGGCACACGATGGCTATGCTGTTAAAGGGACCCTCCCACCTTCAAAAAAGTTTATGAATTGGCATGAAAGTGATGTCGCTCGATTCAGAAAGAGCGAAAACGAATGTCTACCAAATTTCATCGAAAAATATTCATCGGTTTTCAAGATATTAGACTTTTACTTTTGTTTACCTTTTGGGATCTCCACTGTTCCTAGCGACTTTATTTAAAAGTGCGGCATTTGTTGCGCGCAACGCAGCATATACCACCGCGTGCTACAAAACGTTTTAGTCAAACATTTAAAAATCGTTAGATATCGGCGCTGACGTCACACATTCAGAGGGGTATTCCTAAGCATTAGCCCCTCTGAATCAAAATGCTGCAATTTTGAAATTCAATATTTCCGATTTAAGGCATTTCTCGATGTTGTGAGTGCCGAAACCGGTAATTGTGAGCCAGGGACCCCATTTTGGCTATCTCAACTCAAATCTAATGTTAAGGTGGGAGGGTCCCTTTAATGCGGACGTTCTGTTACCTTTTAATCAACCAATCGAACGCAATCGATGAATCGATCAACGGCCGACGCGCATCGCACAGTTATCAGCATTGACTTCAGTGTCGACGGTAGAATCCAAGGGCGGACTGGTTGGGACCTACCCAGTACCCATCGCAGCGGTCCAACGGTTGCGGCCGGGCTGGGTCTGTTTTTGCGGCGGTCCAGGGTCGGCGCGGACCGGCTCTGGCGCCCGGCCGGTCTCCGGGCGCATTCGCTGGGCCGGTGGGCTCTGGAATGTTAATGGAACTCCCACCAACCCTTTAGCGGATCCCAAACAGTGGTCAACGGATGGCCTTGCCGCCTTTTGAGTGGTTTGGTATTCGCTATGTTGTTGAGTGTTCTTGTGTTTCTTTCACTTTCTTTGTCGTTTTTAAAATGCATGCGAATTTTAGTTATTGTACTCTAAGCTCATCATAACTGATGTGTTTCTAGTTACTTACGTGTGAGCTTTGTCGTTCCCCGTTTCATTCCCCGTAACCAGTCTCATCTGTTGTTGTTACTGTCGGCGTCTGTGGTGGCTCTGGACCGCCGCTGTGGCCGAGGCGGGACAGAATTCCGACAGCCGCCTGTTTTACTGGGTCCCGTCCCGGCTCTCCCCACGTGGGCAGCTTTCCCCGGGTGCCCAGAGAGGCGGCTGGGGATGAGAGGGCGCTGGAAGTGCTTGGGCCCTCACAGGGTTTACACATGGCTCTTGTCACCTTTCTAGAACTCATATTGATGTGAGTTTAGGCGTCGTCCCAGCCAGCGGTAGCCCGTCTTTTCCAGAACATTCTATTCTGTCCTGTCCCCATTTGCGGTTACCCCTGCCTCCCCCTGTGGCCGCCGATATCCATTAAAGGAAATAGTTCACTTTTAACATGGGATTTTGAACTGGAATAGCAGTTTCGTAGCTTGAGCTGAGACTAGCACAAATCAGGAGCTTTTACGGCTCAACGATCACCCTAGACGAAGATATTCCATTTCTCGTTCCGAAAAGAGTGCCTTGCAGAGGAATGTGTGCCTTGCACAGGAATGCAGCCACGTCATCGTCAGCCAATCAGCATGCTGCTTACAGCTAATGCAGCATGCGTAGGTTTGAACTACGCAATATGATTGGTCAACGCGTAATAAGCTTCCGCGTCAAACATTATTTTACATAGAATATAGTTCGTCCTATATTAAAATATAGAAAATAATTGTTTTTACAAAAAGGTTTTATTTTATTTTCTGATCATTTTGAGCATAAAGAATCGTAAACTCATAGCAAAATACTAATTTCAGGAAAGTGAGCTGTTTCCTTTAACGATTGACCGCCGGGTGTGCGGTGGTCGGCTGTTGTCGGGCGCCGCTGAGCGTCCCTCGCCCCGTCCCTCCGCGCGCCCGGCCGGCCGTATTGAGCGCCGTTCGCCGCCGCCCACGTGGGTACAGGACACGCAGCGCCGAACACGCGGCCACGTACCGGGTCGGCCGGCAGGGGCTGCGCGGTTAGAGCTGTAAACGGCGGTAACGGGGTAAATAGTTACCTACTTGTTGTGGTTTGCCACAGGTGTAGCGAGTTGGCCCCATTTGGGAAGTTTCCGCTGGTAATTACCCGCCTGTTGCCCGTCCGTGGCCGCAGTCTCGGGGAAATCGATGAACACTGAGCCATCCGCTCAGGAGTTTACGCTACAATGAAGACACATTAACAGACACGGCACTCGTGTGTTTGCTTGATTGTGGAAAAGTGGACGGTTCAGGTTGGGCTGCAGACGATATTTGTATTGCAAAAGGGGCTTCTTGAACAGTTGAGTTGCTGCAGAGGTTTAGTCTGAACCAACGTTTGCCGTCGCACCGGCGCCTTCTCGCGGCGACCGACTCGGCGTGGTGGAGAGCACGCATTGATCGCCTCAGCGTCTGCGGCAGCTGGCATGGCGGCCGTCGGCTGTGCGCTCTCGGCCGGCTTTCAGGCCTCAGCCCTCAGGTGAAGGGACGGAATCGGAAAGCAGCCGCCTACTCTGCTGCATGAAAACTCAGTCACTCCACGGCCCACGTGGAGGGGTACATTGTCTTTTTATCCGATTAGAAACGTATCTTTCGTTCTGCAGGTGTATTGACCCATTGGAAACCTCATGTGGAAAGGCATGCTCTCTTCACCCCATGTGCACAGTGATGCAAATGGGGTTCACGAGTGGCCATAAATACCCAAAAGTCAAGTTTACCAAATTGAGTTAATTGCGATATGGCCGAGTAGACAAATGTTTGGGGCATCTGAAATCACATGGTTTTCATGTTTTTGTCAAAACCGGCCTCGTGTATAATCGTCAGAAGTCGTGACATTTTCTAGTTCGTAAAATGACGGTCAGACACTCGCAAGTTCAAACGCCGCTGGTTTGCGTTCATTTCGTACAAATTGAAAAAAATATGCATGAGAATGATCCCCAAAGCCTTCTGCTTCTAATGCCGGGTCACAAAAAGCCGTATCTCATTCGCTTTGGCGGTAATCTGACTATTTATCATCATGTTGCAATCGCAGTTTTTTACTAAGAAAAAAATGCTTTCGTTTCACCTACAGCACTTAACACAGTGTGTGCCCGTTAGTCCACCATACCATAGCCTTCCCTAATCATTTCTGAGTCGCATCGTGAAAGAATTAAGGCGCTAGCACAGGGCTGACCGGCGCTACAGAGGTTTTTGTCCGGGCGGTCGGGTGCCGCAGTGGGCGCGCAGTGGGCGGGTGGGTGCCGCCGCGCGGCGTCCGGGCGGCGCGGCGGCGCGGCCGCCCGAGCCGCCCGCTGCGCCGCGGCACCCGACCGTGCCGGACGAAAACTTCTGTAGCGCCGGTCAGCCCTGTGCTAGCGCCTTAATTCTTTCACGATGCGACTCAGAAATGATTAGGGAATGCTATGATATGGTGCACTAACGGGCGCACACTGTGTGAAGTGCTGTAGGTGAATTGAAAGCAAATATTTTTGGTAAAATACTGCGGTTGCAACATGATTACAAATAGTTAGCTCACCGCCAAACCAAAATAGATACGGCTTTTTATGACGTGGCATTAGAAGCAGCAGGTTTCGGGGATCATTTTCATGTATAGTTTTTGCAGTTTGTATGACATGCACGCACGCTAGCGGCACTTGAATTTCAAGTACCTGACAGTCATTTTTACGACATCGAAAATGTCTCGACTTCTGACAATCCTACACGAGGCCGGTTTTGACAAAAACATTAAAATCATACTTTTTCAGACACCCCAAACATTTGCCTGACTGACCATATTACGATTTATTCGATTAAGTGAACTTGAATTTTGGGCCTTTTTCGTATTTATGGCCACTCGTGAACCCCATTTGCATCACTGTGATGTGGTACGAAATTGTCACTAAAATCAGGGTTCGGTTGCGGAGCCGAACTCAGCGCTCCGACTACGGACGGCTTTTACCATGACATGACTGCGGTTATGGCTGTAGCTTCACCACCAGTCGTGGTTTCAACGCTCGTCGTGATCCTGATTACAGTTCCCGCTACGTCTGTGGCGGCGGCTTATGACCTGCCAGCGTCCCGCCCCGTTCCCAGCCGCCTTCCACCCGTTATCTGCACTCCACTCTGCCGCGCGGCGCTCCCAGCGGGCCGGTAGAACGACGGCGTGTGTGGCGCACTGTCGACGATCCCGCCGCGGCGCGGTCGATACCACCAGCGGTGCCGACGTCACACTGCGGGCTGACGGCGCTTCGCTTATCGTATTCTGCTCAAAACTTTTATGAGCGATAGAATGTGGTTAACGGTACGTTACTCCTTCCAAGTTTTAGGATAGCCTCTTACGTGCATCACGCCATAGTTTTGTTTGAGGGCAGGCCTTAGCCCATAGCTGTATATTTGTACTTTCCGAGTAGTGACGTGCGAGTCGTATAAAAATGTGGGCAGTATATTTGCCGAGTACGGTCAAGCCCGCTCAATGAGGGGCACTCTTGAATGAGTAGCCGTACGCGAAATGAACTGCCAAAATGGCGGCAGGATGTGCTATTCCCCTTCTGCCGGTCCCAAAATAGCACGGGAAGGTGACCGTCAGTGGCTCCGCAGTCGGCCGGGGGGGGGGGTAGCGCGGGCGGGGAGGGGGCAGCGCGGCGCTGGCGGCGGCGCCCGGCTCCGTCAGCGCGGCGCCCATGGTCGGCGGC